TTCATGCTCTGCCAGGGAGGAGGGGAAGCTGGGAGGAAGCAGAGACAGGACACCTGACCCAAACTAGCCAAAGGGGTATTCCATACCATAGCACGTCATGCCCAGGATGTAGAACTGGGGGCAGCTACCTGGAAGGGCTAGATCACTGCCGGGGTTGGGCTGGGTATTGGTCAGTGACTGGTGAGCAGCTGTATTCTCTTCTGCTGTTATTTCCCTTATCATTATTATTATTGGTGGCAGCAGCAGTGATTTGTGTTATACCTTAGTTACTGGACTGTTCTTATCTCAACCCGTGGGAGTTACATTCTTCCAATTCTCCTCCCCATCCCTCTGGGAGCTGGGCGGGGGGGAGGGTGGGGGAGGAGGGGGAGTGAGACAGACACTGAATGGTTCTGATTTATGGCTGGGCTTAAACCACAACACATTTTTTTGGTGCCCAACATGGGGCTCGGGCTCGAAGGGTTGAGACAACGACAGATCTGACTGGCGTGTGTTTAATCATATTTGTGATAAGCATTCATTGTTTCAGATTAACAGTCACTCGTCACAACGCTGATTTATTGGCTCTCAAAGTTGTTGCTCTTGGTCTCACAGTTTCAGCATGTCGTACCTTATTTACAGCCAGTATTTGCTGTTCTAGTGTTTATCAGCTGAGGGCCTTGGGCAAAAGTTCTTGTTTCACTGTGCTTTATGGTAATGACTTGTAATACAATAGAATCATTGATCATGAAACTGATCTGGCTTGCATTCCCAGTGTGGTCACCACCTCTATACTTTGGGGGGTATATAATAGAAGTGTACAGCAATTACACATTTTTTCCCCTTCTCGGGTGGTCAGCCTATGAAGGAGACATTCCCACACACCCTAGTGACAAATACAGCAGCTACTCAAACTCCACCCGCAGCAGACAGTGCAGCTACTCCAGCTCCAAGCACAGCAGCTACACCAGCCCCAGTGACAAGTACAGCAGCATCGTTTGAGAGTTCTGAAGGTTTTGAATGGCCTTTGGGTACCCTTGAGACCTGCCAGCTGATTGTGACAAGGATCAGCATGTTGGCACACATAGAGACCGTGTTTTACTCATGACCATTTTGTCTGACCTCGAAAGTTAAGCGGAGTCGTGTTTGGGTCTTATCTAGGGCTAGATGATGATTAGGAAAACCAAGAGATTTTCCCCAAGGCTGGACAGTCATGAGTTGCAGGGTGTGTGGGACAGTTGGGCAAGTATCTAGTCCACTGGGCCCCTCCAGTGCTTTGGAAGCATCAGAGATGGAAGGCAGCTGTATGCAGTCCCCGACAATAAGTAGCAGAAACTGCTGAAGGGGAGGGTGAATTATTTGAGCCTAGTGGGTCCGTGACACTTCAGGCCATCACGGCAGAGATAAAACATACAGATGGACTCATGATCAAGGGATGGACTTAGCAATGGACACTATTGCCCAGGTTATTCACGAGAGTGAGACATGCTGCAATTAAGCAAGCCAAGAGGTTAAAGCCTCTCTGGTATGGAGGACGACAGCTGAAGCACATGGGGAGGCCTGGCAGATTGACTACATCACACTCTCTCTCCTGCTCTGAAAGACTGTGACAAGAGATGGAGCCCGACATCATGGACTGGGTGGACACAGCAGCTTTATAGGGATTGGTCCATGCACTAAGGAATAATATCTCTCTCTCTCTGTGGATGTATATATAAGTATATATATAAGAGTGATGGTATATTGAAAATGTGGGATCTAAGCATGATGTGAATGGTATGGAATAAGGGGTGGATAGTGTCCTGGGTTCAGCAGTAGCAGTCATTTTTCTCCTTCTTAGTAGCTGGGGCAGTGCTGTGGTTTTGACTTTCGGCCTGGGAACAGCACTGATAACACCAATGTTCTTAGTTGTTGCTCAGTAATGTTTACTCTGAGCACGGACTTTGAGTCTCATGCTCTGCCAGGGAGGAGGGGAAGCCGTGAGGAAGCAGAGACAGGGCACCTGACCTAAACTAGCCAAAGGGGTATTCCATACCATAGCATGTCATGCCCAGGATGTAGAACTGGGGGCAGATACCCCAGAGGGCTAGATCACTGCTGGGGTCGGGCTGGGTATCGGTTGGCAGGTGATGAGCGGTTGTATTCTCTTCTGCTGTTATTTCCCTTGTTACTGGTGGCAGCAGCAGTGGTTTGTGTTATACCTTAGTTACTGGACTGTTCTTATCTCAACCCGTGGGAGTTACACTCTTTCAGTTCTCCCCATCCCTCGGGGGGGGGGGGGGCGGACAGAAGGGGGAGTGAGATAGAGACTGTGTGGTTCTGATTTACGGCTGGGCTTAAACCACGACACACAGAATACAGAAGGACAAAATTCTATGTATATAAGCCTTCCCTTACCTTTGAAATAAGCAACCAATTTTAAAAGCTAAATGCAAGTTGAGAAAACTGAGACTTTAACTTCATTGCAAAAACTGGAGAATCTGAGAGAAAAGACAACTGATACTTACAGAACCAAAGAGGGTTTAGCTCTTATGGGACAAAGAGACAGATGGCTACGTTCACATGCCTGTGAAGCATGGGCTAGCTGAAGATGGGGCCATAATATAATCATGTGCCATAGAGCCAATATCTAACTTGAGTATAAATTTTCATGTCAAGGAAAAATAAGAATTTCAGGTCCCCACTCTCTCTTTTGACAGTATGTTGTAGAACTTATTTGTAGTTTATTTCTGAAAAACACACTACTGGTAACAGGAAGTTATACTGTGTATGTTTCCTGCAAACTTTCTGTAGGCAAACCATGCCAAAGAGAACCAGACTGGGTCCAAACCACAGCTGTAAAACTTGACAACTCATCTCCGCAAGGACTATATACAAAATAGAATCTTATCAGGTCCTGGTTAACAGTGAGGGCTTCTGAGGGAAAGTATTTACAAGGTATTTGAGGAGATCTTCTGGGAAGTTCTGCCCTTCACAAACAGATCATGCTCATTCAAGCGTAGATAAAAGAAAACCAATGCAAGCTTGCCTGATTTGGGTGCTCTATCAAAATATGAGTGACCTTGCTCCACAGAATCAGCTAATTTTTGAGTTATACTGCTCCTTTCTTTCAGACTTTCTTCCCCATTACTCCTGAAATCCTCCTTCTGCCCTTTTAGCAGACAGGACTGTAGTCTTCTCCTTTGGCACTTTTCTCAACAGTTACTGCTTCACTTGGTCACACCCCTGACATATTCCCTACCACTAAGAAAAACTGGAGCAGTTTGTGTGACCGTTCAATCTCAGCCTTGTTACCCAAATCAAAACCCCAGCCTCAAACACACTTATGTAAAATGAAATATGAAGGATGGAACCCAGTGACTGGGTTACTGGGTGAACAGTGCAGAAATATGAACCACCTAGGTTTTGTTAGCGAAATTGCCTCTTGGAAAGTTTGCCTAGTTCATGATTTGTCGAGTGTCTAGAAGTTGCAGGGGAAAGCCAGTGTACATTTAATTTGAAAACATAACTGTATTTTACTAGAGGAGATTTAAGCAAATCTGGGAAACATCATGCTACATTTATGGCGGCCAAAGCAAAAGTGGTAAAACACTGCAAAAACATCTCTTGTTCTAAAAGTAATGAGTGCACACAGACTAGAAGTAACCCCAGAGCATGGACTTAATTGACTACATTTCCAAGTTGAGGTCTGTATACATAGTTTCTCTCTTCTTTCTCCATAGTCAATAGGTCATAGCTAAAGATCTTTTCAATACTGCTGATGTGACGTACATTAATCCTCTGTATTCTGGAACTGCATAAACGCTCCTCAAATGCAGTTTCCAAGTATAATCCCAAATAACTTCCTGTCCATCTTCAAAACCCTCAGAGCTCACAGAATAACTGGAACACTGAGACACACAAGTCCTATTTTAAGTAATTTTTCAATTCAGGTAGTTCTCACCAGCTTTCAGTACCTGGACACCAAGCCCCTATTACCTTTAGCGCAGATAAGATAATGCATTCATTTTCAAACAAGGAACAAGAAGACTATATTCACAGCATACTAAATAGTCAACTGAACACCACTGAAAGAAATTTTGGAATAAAAGTGAAAATGGACCTTGAGAAGACACTAATTTCATATAAATCAAATACAGCTCTCTAGATTCTCACAGAAGCTTTTACAATTAAAATACAACAGGCAGCAGCTTTGCCATACTATCTGCTTCTAAGCCAGGAAACCCCCATCTCCAAAGAGGGGGCCCTGGCCGCGCGGCAGAGTGGCGTGAGCGGAGGAACCCGGGCCCGCCCGCACCGGCCGCCGCATCCCCACCACGAGGCGAAACGGAGACAAACACCACGCGCGAGCGCTACTACACCCACCAACTTCTCTCTCCCGCCTCGCTGTGATTGGCTGCGATGAGAAGCAGGCTGGGCGAGGCGCTCGGTGATTGGTGGATGGGTTGGCTATTTTGGCGCCCTGAAGGCTCCCGGGCATTCGTGGATGTGGGGCTGCGGTTGTGCTCCCCGCTGAGGGGAGGGGCGGGGCGGGGCGGGGCTTCCCGTCCCCGCCGGTCCCGGTGTGTCTGGTGTGGCCTGTGCAGCGGCCATTTCGTGGCACCTACACCGGCAGTGCTGCACCGGGCACTGGCTGGGAGGAAAAAGCACTCTTCCCGCCGAGCAGTTAAAGGAAAAACTCACCGTAGAGCGGATCCTTAGGAAAGGAGGGGGTCAGTGTACATGGTGGATCACAAACAGGGTGCAAGCCTGCTGCATTGAGATACTGCAGAAATAAATAATCATGCTGAGATAGGATCAGGAAGAAGGCCTGAGGACCAGTAGTGTTGTCTCCTCCTGTGTCTGGCAGTGGTAAGGTTTATGGATAGAGTAGTGAAGTGAAGCAGCTGGATAGTGCAGAACAGGCTAATGTTTTGTTGCATTAGATCGGATTTTCCTGAAAAAAAAACCCTTTATGTGTTTTATTTATTTTGTCTTTTTCATTTGAATGTTAACTGTAGTGTTGGTTCAACTGTTGAAATGTGTATGTCTTAGAAAATCTTGTCACTTTTTTAAAGCCAGATACCATTGTGAGTAGAAGGAAAGAATTCTTGATGGCTGATGGTAATGAAGAATTTCCTAGAAGAAAAATGAAAGCTGTAAGGTATGTGAAGATGGGATTACTGTGGCGGCTTTAATATTTTGAAGCTCTGACAGTATGATTACCAGGAAATACTATTGAAGAAATGTAGAAAATAATGTTTGTATTTTGTAGTGTTGCATTTAAGTTTTCTGTTACGTGTGGGTGTAAAATGTAATTTGTGGAAAGTTCTAGCACTTGGAGTAAGTTCAGAGAAAAGCTGTTTTAAATGCATCTTTCAAATACTGAGTTATTTGGCTACCACTATAGCATACTGATCTGTATGTATGTAAGTAAGTAAATCGCTGTTTACTCAATATACTTTTAGTTAACTGTAGAATGAATGTCATTGACTGTTAAACAGTTTATTAATAGTGGTTCTAGTTACCTTAAATGGTGCATGTCTGAAAGCTCTAGTACCACCTTCATGGATGATGAATTAAGCATCATAGGAGTAAATCACTTTTCCAGTTAAGAGGGTAACACTTTTTTTATATGCATTTAATTAACTGCACTTTCTCCATAAAGTCACTTGGTAAAAAGTAGGCAGATATAGTTCTAAGAGTTGGAAGTCAGAATTTGTGTTTGGTTGATATCCCTAATGATCCTAAACCTTTACTTCCATTTCTGAAGGCATCGTCTTAAGATACTAGAAGAGGATTTAATAGAACCAAACTGGAAAAACAGGGCTTTCTGTCATATGTCAAAAGCTGTGAGTGTGAAAGGTAAGCTTTTGGATCTTATTTCCAACAACTTTGTGGTATGCAGTGTTAACTATAAATTTATATTTTATATGGTCTGTTTAAGACAACAAATGTGCTGCCAGATTTGATTAATGCATTGTTTATTTACTACATTTCCAGCACTTAGCAAGAGCAATCAATACCTTTTTTTTTTTCCTGTTATTGACAAAGCTACTGAAAAGTTTGGTTTAAAAAGAAGCCTCATTTTTCTGGGATTTTCTGCTTGAGTGGCTTTTTTCTGAGGGTTGCAAAATCCTGGTCAGTACGTAAAACTTAATGGATGCTTTACTAAACACTTTTTTTTTTTTTCCTCTCCTATAGATACAAGTTTTGAGTGCATGTTTTCTTTTGCCTTTTTGCCTTCCCTTTAATGAGTTTATCATGTCCTGAATGTAGAAGCAATGTAATGTAGCTAATCATGCAGATAATACAGTAAATATTAAATGCAAGTAAGTTGGGGTTGTTTGTTGTTTGGTTGGTTGGTTTTTTTTTTTGGTAATTCTAAGATAACTACCAGATCTGTTTATCTGGAATTATATTTCTAGCTTTAAAATTCTGTCATTACAAAAGTTGATGTACAAATTCCTGTTGACTTCATGGATACTGTCTAAAAGACTACTCTGGTTGTCATTCCTCTTTGTCTTACTGATTAAGATGCCTTGCAGTTAACAACATTGATAGTCAAGTGTTTCCTATGCTTGTTTTTACAGCCTTGCATGATTATGTGAAGGATGAAGACACCACTTTTTTTGGCCTCTCTTCTGCAGAAGTAAGTTGATTTAAAGCTTTCTGTTTTGTAGTCGCTGTGGTAGTCTGAAATAGTGATGTTACAGGAGCTTTTACATTTTTACTGAAAGTGATTAAAGCAAGATCAGGTCCCATGTGAGTTAAGAGCCTGCACTTCATAACCACGTGCTCCCCTGCTAGCACGAATGGTTGCACAGTGTGGCTATGTAGAGTGCATCTGATGCCTGAGATATGGTTTTAGGAAGGTTTATTTTTATAGTCCTCATTAATACCTCATGTTGCCAGTTCCATTCCACCCTCTTGTTTGCACAAAATGTCCAAGAAAGTAACTGGCACATACACAAGTTAAAGAAAACAAAGTACTCTGTCAGTTCCCAAATAAAAGGACTTACAAGATTTAAAAAAACAACAGAAACAAACAAAAAAAGCTAGCTTCACTTTGCACAATATTGTGTAACTTACTAATATAATTCAGAAAGGAAATCAGCATTCCTTTTACTAGAAATACTTTTCATTTACCACAAAGATACACTGTTGTCTACAGAGCTTCAGCATGGGAGCTGTTTTTTAAACCTCTTCTCGCTCAGTTCCACAGTATGTACTTTGAAGCTTAGTCTCACTGAAATGGGGCAGGGGGAGAGGTGAAAACAGGCTTACAGAATTTTTTTTTTTGCTGTTGTTGTTGTTAACTTGGACTTGGATTTAACCCTGCATTTGAACTTGCTTTACTCTTTTCCTCTGAATTTAGAACAAAAGTGATTTTAAACTTGGGCTGTGCAGTGGCAACTCACAAAGGCTAGCAAGGTAAACCTTTATTAACTCAGATGGAGTGTATGTATTTAGATGCCACAATGGGGGAAGACTTGACCAAGCAAGCATTTCCAGCTGGTTTTCTTGCTCTGCTTTCTTTTTAATAATACATTCTTTAAACTTCTTTAATGTCTTCTCAGTATGGATGTCTAGTACTGTGGGAACAGCTTGCTTGACGCTTGTGCAAATAACATTTCATTGAAAGACAGCAAGAAGCAGATTGGTTTGGCTTGAAAATGTTTGGAACTGTAAGTTTTAAGCACTGTGGTAACTCCCTGATAAAGGTTCAGAGGGAGAACTACTGAAATGCCAGGCTGCGCCAGGAAGGACTGTATCATTGAAGCACCTCCTTACCTCCACCCCTGTGCTGCTTCCATTGCACCTTCTGCTTAGATAACCAGTTCACAGCTATAAAGATTAGATGCTAGCAATGTTATGTGGTCTGTTATCATAATCTTAAGCTACAGTCACTTGCTTATTTCTCTAGCCTGTGTGAATCTGAAGTCTTAAAGTGGGTGTCTTTCTCTCCACTGCCATAGCTGTGGTGATTTATGTTGACACAAATGAGAATAGGCCCAGATAATTCTCAGATATGTTACATAAGGGAGATAGAGGAAATTTGTCTTCTGGGATTGGTGCATGTAATGTGCATCGCAAACCTTGTCCAGAATGAAATGGAAATTCCAGTATCTGAAGGGGGCCTATAGAATCATAGAATAGTTAGGGTTGGAAATGACCTTAAGATCATCTAGTTCCACCCCCCCTGGCATGGGCAGGGACACCTAACACTAAACCATGTCACCCAAGGCTCTGTCCAGCCTGGTCTTGAACACCGTCAGGGATGGAGCATTTACAGCTTCCCTGAGCAACCCATTCCAGTGCCTCGCCACCCTTACAGTAAAGAATTTCTTCCTTATATCCAGTCTAAACTTCCCCTGTTTAAGTTTTAACCTGTTACCCCTTGTCCTATCACTACAGTCCCTAACGAAGAGTCCCTCCCCAGCATCCTTATAGGGGCCTGTAAGGGTGGTGAGATACTGGAATGGGTTTTCCAAGGAAATTGTGAATGCTCCATCCCTGATGATGTTCATGGCCAGATTGGACAGAGCCTTGGGTGGCTTGGTTTAGTGTGAGGTGTCCCTGCCTACAGCAGGGGGGTTGGAACTAGATGTTCTCAAGGTCCTTTCCAACCCTAACTATTCTATGATTTCATGTATGGCCGTCAGGCTCTACAACAGTGATCTCCAAGTCCTCTCAGAGTCCATCAGAGAGCACAAACCACGCACAGGAAGAATACCACAGTGCTTCCTCCGTGTTATAAGGCTGGTTTACACAGGCTTTTTAAAGTGAGAGTCTTGATGCATGTTCAAATCCGTGTGTACTTTGCAGAAGAGCAGGTGTGGATGGCCATACAGCAGCATTTAAGAGACTTTGAACTGGTTATCAGTAGGTGTCTTTAGTGTCATTTACCATGTAGTCTAAGCATTTTAACAACCTAGAAAAATACATGGGCAACAAATGAAAAGTTAATCCTGGAACATTGATAGTCACACATTTTATTATCACTAAAGATAAAATGATGACCACCTGGCTAAGGTTTTGGTCAGCCTTGCTAAAATTGTTAAATGAAAAATGTTCCTAAATACAAATTTTAGGATGATGCTGGTAGAAAGGAAACTTCCTGAAAATGAGGTATTATTTCACAGTATGTCACATTGTGAATTTCTGCTGTTTCAGGAATAGGCATATATGTTATGTATTTAATGACAGATTTTGAAATACTCAAATTGTGTCTAAAGCATATGTGGGAAGATTGGTATTTTAGCTAAAATATGTAGATTTTTCCTTGAAGTTTTGCTTTGCAGGCCCTTGAGTCACTGTATGGTCACAACACATCCAGTTTCTTCAAATGGTGGGCTGAGGGATAAACCAGCTGTAACTCCATCGGCAGACATGGTGTGTTAATGTGAAATTTCCTTATATTCTCACTTGCTATTTTCATATATGCATAGTTAACAATGCACTTTCAAAAGCAAAAGCCTGCATCCTTAATAGTTACATGCTATCATTCTCATCTCCTCATAGAATTGATGTGCACCTATAGTATGAATGAAAAAACTTGGCAAAGTGAGTGCAGGTTACACCCAACCAGATCATAGCTGACAAGGGCTAGTATATTCAGCTGACTATGCAACTCTGTATTTTGAATTTTTCTTAATACCAGAAGCTTCATAATATTTGGGTTTAGGGATTTTTGATTCTTTTGAATTTGAGGTAGCTGCAAGGCTTATGCAACACATCCTTAAAGTCATTCAGGGCAGCAGGGTTGTCGGACAAATGGATCTCTCTTGAAACATTCTATTAAAGTTTCTAACTTGATCTTTCTGAATGAGGTTTGTGCAATTTTTAGGCCAGATGAACTAGTGTTGTGGTTATTTTAAAATGACAGAACAAACTGAAATTAATATGTCCTATGCCAGTCCCGTTTGCTTCTATGGACATTGTCCTGCACAGTTACCTTGAAAGTATTGTAGCTTGCAGGTGTCTTGTCTTGACTCCTTAAGTAATTTTACTGTAGTGCCCATCAGAGTTTGAAAGTGGTTTTCTTAACATTTTTTTGAAAAGTGTATTTGAAATAAAGCTCTATCATGTTACCTTGCTATTGACAAAGTATTAAAGGAAATATCATGAGGTTATCTTTGGCGCATCTTAAGTCTGAGGTTGTAAGTAATATTTTGATGGTAGTCACCTCTTCTTTTGACAAAATACTTTTTTTTTTTTGAGAAAATTACTGAGAATGATCTCATGTGAAAATCCACATTTATTGAGATCCTAGTCTAGCTGCTGCTTACTATTTGGTTAGTTGGTTGTGGGGTTTTTTTTTCCCCAGACTCCTTGGGGAGTGTTTGATGATTACTAGATCTTTGGTAATATCATTTCTTACATTACTGAGTATATCCATGTCTTTCAAGTTTTAGAATTATTTTTATTTCTGCATCATTGATCATAATGGGAACCACAGAGAGGGAGCAGTGTAACTCCATGATGTTTTTAGCTGTTATGTCTCCTTGCATCTGCTCAAAATAGAATAGTTGTCACAGGGAGGGGTCCTAATATGGTTAACATCCAAATCAGTGTAGGAAGAGGGTTTTCTTCCCCTTCTAGGAAGGAGACCTAATTGGTCTGATATATGCAGATGCATTAATGGGAAAGCTGTTTTAATGATGGAAGTGATAAGATATCTTTATTAATCTCCATAATGATGTATGTGACCAATGAGTCTCTCTCAAACTGTGGGCAGCACATCCTTTCACTTACACCAGTATCTGGTCAGATGCAGAACTGTTTCAGGTTTTTGAACTCTAAGCCTGGATTTCTCTCTAATGTGTGTTTGTTCTCTTTAACACTAGTGAGGAGTCCTTTACAAATTAGAGATGTTTGTATTTTGGCTAGGTGATCTGGTTGCCTGATAGTAACAGACTTACACAACACCATCCCTGACTCTCTGGTGCCTTCCCAGCTCATGATACCATTTTGCTTTTAGCAAAATAACCAGCACTCTTTAACACTAGCTTTAGTAGTGCCAGTAACAAAATAAAGACATTTCTGTATGTACATTTGCTTTTGTGCCAATTCATGTGCAAGTATTTTATTGTCCTTTCTCACATCAGCATAACACTGGGAATTTATTATGTTTGGATTTTTGTTGGTTTTCCCCAAATGATACTCCTAAATATTTTTTTTCTAAGCTGCAGTTTTCCCGTTCTTGAATCTTGCATGTTTTCTTTGCTTTCTTTTAGTAACTTTATTTTGCTTTCCTTCATGTACTATCTTTTTTTTTTTCCCTCATGTACTATTTGGGGTTTTTTGTGTTTATGCAGGTGTGCAAATAAGTTGCCTGTATTTAACAATCAAAAATTTAGAACCGTATTTCGGAAATACTGCAACGTAAATGTGTTCGGTGTAATTCAGGTGAGCTCAGTATTTCGACCTGTTTGTGGGTATAGAGCTGCTCGGAGCCTTACAGAGATAATCAACCACATCAAATGCCTCTTTGTCAAAATGGCAAATGTGTCTAGCCCATCTCTAGCCCATGTCTTCTAGTCGTACAGGCAACTTCATGTTCATTGGCAAATCTTTCCCCAGGACAGCAAAATTACGGAAGATATTGATGAAGCTTTGGGCATAGCTATTTGTAATCTCCACCACTTACATGATGCAAATGAGGTGGGTGAAATAAATCATTAACTACTAAATTCTGTCCTTGACTGAAGCTTTTTGTTGTGAGTAGTCGTGCATTAATATGCTATTTAAACATGCTTTTACTGCCTTCATTTTGATACCTTTTTTGTCCTTCAACTGTTTGCTATTTCTGTTATAGCAGAAATAATATACAGTTTTAAACTCCAGGCTGTAGTAGTCTGTAAAAGAAGTACATGAGCCTCTCCATAATCTAAAGTCAATAGGTTATTCCATGTATTTAGCAGAATCATATATATGTTGGTCATTAAGTACTGAACTCTTTTTTCATTGAGTCAGGGCAAAATTCAGCACTTGTTTTTGCTGTAGCAGCTGTGCTGACTTAGTTTTTTCGTGCCTCTTCCTGGAGTTAAAGTGGGAAAGAAATTATATGGACCACAGAAGTAGTAATTCTGACAGACACAATATGTAAAATGTGTAAATCAAGTAATGTATTTTTATGCACAGTATAAAATATAGGAAGAATCCTAAAGTGCTGGATGATGCTGTTAAAAGGTTTTACTCAGTAACCTATAGTACACCAATGATAATTATTTTATTTAAACTTAACTCTTATTAAATGCACTGTGGAAAAGCTTACAGTTCTGTCTTTGCCATTTCTTTACGAGTATTCTAAGATACCAAGACACAGAAGTGTTTAATGATCCAAAAGCTTAAAGCAAATTCAGCCTAGTAAGTGGCATGACATGTACTTAAAGCCTGTTTCCCATTCCCTTTCTTGTTTTGTTGCAGTGGCCAATCTGCCAGTTAAAGTTATGTTGAATACCTAATTCATACACTAACAGCATCTCATAAAAACCTACCACTTCGGCGGCTCTAATAAAATAACTCATGCACGTGCAACTGGGGTCTTCCAACAGCTTTTCAGCAGAGGCAGAGAATTGCCAAAGCATTTCTGCATTACTGAGATTTTTTTTTTTTTCCATAGTCTCTTCATTAAATGTAACTATAGTAACAAAACTGATGCTTACCAGGGGAAAAAACTTATGCACACAATGAGTTTAAAAAAACCCGGTAGAACTCTTAGTGTGCTGTGTGTGGTGCTGCATTAGAATGTCAGCTAGTGAAAGTGAGACAGGGGGTTCAAGATCTATGGTTTCTTGACTCATAGATCTAAGGACCTCAGTTGAGATGAGGCTTCAGACAGTGCAAACAGACGAGGAAAGGGATTAATGAGCTATAATTGGTTTAAGTGACACTCCTAAGTGTCTTACGTGGTTTGGTGTCACTCTTTTCTGCTGAGAGTATTGATCACTGTCTTACTCTTTATTGCTTCTCTTCTGAATTAAAAAAAAGAATAAAAATAATAAATGCCTGTTTATTCAATACTGAACAAAACAGATGCTGAAATACTTGGAACTGAAAGTGAAGCAGGATGGAGACAAAATTGCAGAAACTGCAGATAGAAAATTTGATGAACTTACTGCTTCTCTGCTCTCAAGGTAGTGTAGTAATCTGGTTTGTAGGATGGAGTGGTCAATTACTTTTATCAAGAAGTTGTTTCTAGTTCAAATAAAAGAATTCTAAATAAAATTGTATTCCTCATAGGGGTATGTCATAACACCTGTTCAGTTTCTGGGTAGAAAAAAACTAGCTTATGCAGCCTCTGCTCTTTAAAAAACAAAAATAACTTTGTCTTGATGATGTTGGTTTTCCAAAATGGCTCAGTTTTGGGCAGTTTTGATCTGGTGGGGGATCAGCAAGAATAACTTTTTTTTTTTTTAAATTTCAGCACATTTTAAAGCTGATAGAAGCCTAGTGACCCTTCATTTCTTCACTTCAAAAATGAATATTTAAGGGGTAGAAGAGTGTCAAAGCTTACGATTACAGGAAAGTCTCTTGAGAGTTGGGTTTAGTATCTTAATAAGCTGAATTGTAAAAGCCAGCTGTTTTCAGTTGGGTGTGCATGAAAGTATCAGGAGGCTTGGATGGAAGAGTGCTTAAATGTTGAATAAAACCAGAAATGTTTCTCCAGTTGTCTTTTCACTGTGAATTCTTAACTTTTGTGGCTCCTCTGAATATCTAAGGTTTTCCATACTTTCCACTTTTCAAGCTTTGAGAAAAATTGTATTTCTGTGTGAGATATATCCACTTTGTATTGTGGTATAACCGGCAGTTGTGTGTTCAGGTGAAGTTTGTACAGCTGAGGGCATAATAAATTCTGAAAAATCATGTTTTTAATACAGGAAAAAGAAATTATGTGCAGAATTAGTGAAGAGTGTCAACAATTACAGTGCTGGTATTGCAAAAGCTAAGGAAGTCATTGAAGAGAAGAAAAAGTGCTTGATTGGTGTTGTTAGGATTGCAGAGGAGTTGAAAGTTACACCTTCTGTAAGAACCTATTGTGATCTTGCTCAGGTAGTTACATTCTTGCACTGTGAAAAAAATTTAATGAACATACTCAAGTTTGGATTGAACGGTTCTGTGATGTGTCTTACAACTTTGTTGACTTCAGTACTGTAGCAGTAGTGTGTTCTTACCCCACCTCTACACACACACACACACACACACACACACACACACACACACACACGCAGAGTTTATATTTAGTCTTAGTCACAAATTAGGGTCTGGTGATTGATGTGAAACAAAAGAGATGGTCCCTGCCTTGAAGAGTTTGCTGTCTGAAACAGCAAATGGAGTGGGAGGACAGGAAAACTGTGGCATGATACTGATCAGTGAAAGGGCACTTTCCTCATTACTTTAGGAGTCTTGAGCCTTTCCTGCTCCAGGGCTCTCCAACCCTCTCACTGAACTATTCCAGAATTAATAGCCACACTCTCCTGATCCTCTTGATCCCAGGCCTTTACTCCTGTTCTTCACCCCCATAATACCTGCTGCCCATAGAAACCCATGCTACCTCGTGTGTATCAGACCAAAAATCCATCCTGTGAAGTCTCCTGTCTTTGATGAGAGAGGAAAAAGTGCTTAGAGGAAGAAGTGTTCAGTGAGTACCGGAAGCTGAAGGTTAAGGATTTTATAATTGGTAGGATACATCAGGTTCATTACACTAAATAAACATTGCCTTATTCTGTATAAGCTTGTGCAACACTTCCTTGAATGTCTTGATAATGCTTGTAGCAGTGTGCCTGTGTGTGTACATGTTTGCATTATATGTATGTATTCCTATGCAGTGGCAATGAGTTGCACATTTTAATATTTAAAATGAGATGTATATGAATTAGCTTCATTTTTTTTTCTAAACTTGCTACCAGTTATTTCATTTGCAGCCTTTGTAGTTTTTGTGTTGGGAAAGATAATGAGAAACTGGTCTCATAATTTTTTGAAGTAGTATGGTTTTTAGGCTGTTCTGTTTCCTGCATCTGGTTGTCACATTGCATATGAAGAAACATAGTGTTTCTCATCTGACCCAGAAAAGAAGTTTAATGCCTCCTTTTTTTCTGCCATTTTTCCTCTGTCTTGCCCAGTTTGACTTTTGGGATCTGGCACCCACCACTGTCCTCTTACTTAAAATCACCTTCTCAGCAGCTTTTCATACAAAAGGAAAATCTGACTTCTGCTTACATGCTAACATTACAAAATCACTAGCCATTAGGTCTTAACAACGTAAGAAGACATAATTGAGACCTGGCTACTGGCTGTTAATGAGGAAACTATATTTTTTTTTTTCTGTAAAATTAAAGATGTTATACTCTGGCTTTGTTATGTTGCTGATAATAGGTGCCTGTAAAATGTGCTTTTTGTATAATAGGAGCTAAGACTGTACTTCTTAATTTCAGGTTATTTATAATTTAAAGCTGCCAGTTGAGGACGAGCTCTCAATAGTGAATAGCCTGAAGGAAAAAATATCTCCAAGGTAAATAACTGGAATAGGAGGTAAACTGGGAGGTAAATGGATGTACTGGTTATCTCAATTACAGAAACTGTTAGTGTAACAGTTAAGCTGCAGAAATCAAACTGCTTCACTTACCTTTTACTGAAGAACTACTAGTTCAGATGAACATAAACTCATCACTAACAATATGGAGTAGCCCTCATCTGAGGTATTGGGGAAAAAGCACATGTGGTTTTCTGCTACGTAAACATATATATGCATTTATAAAATTCTTGACATATTTCTGCCACTTTTAAGCTTCCACTCCTTTCCCTTATAAGCAGAAATTAATAGGGGCAATAATGGCTTGATTTTTAAAAAACAAAAAATTATTTCTCACCTTCAGGAAAGACTTAAATGCTTCTTTTGGGACTACTTAAACTTCAGTTTTCACAAATTGCTTATTATAACTGGACAGCAAAGCTAAGAATTTGATACTTAAAGTTCTGCTAGCCTAAAAAGTCTGTTAGCTTCAAACAATACTTTCATCAATGAAATAGCTGTTTATTAGTGTAACAGTAAGTGGAACAATAAGAACATTTTGGACTTCAGTTAACTTCATTGAGCTTAACTGAGTGTAGGTGTGAAAACTCAGTAAGTAAGTGAATGTTGGAGTACTCTGCATTTGAGAGAGAGAAAGCAAAAAGCAAGAGTGTTGTAAATATGAATGTGAAGATAAATGAGCAACTAAATCTGTTGTTAATAGGAGTGAAAAAATGAAAATGGAGTAGGTAGTTTATCTGTTATTTTACCTCTCCATTAATAGTGTCCTGAAAAATATCATACATTGAAAAATGTCAGTGATTTAGGTATTAATTTCATCTTCTGTAATGTTTCTTCTTTCAAGATTCATCCTGAACACTGATGAGATTATGTCTTTGTTAAAAAAATTGGGCAGGATTGAATGGGGAACAGCAGGGCAGTAAGTATGTTTTTAATAATATATATATACAGTAATTCTTCTATTCTTGTGGTTAAATATGTATTGGAGATTAAAACAAAAAAATACTTGTATGTGCTTATGGGTTTCTAAGAATGTAATGAAACAAGGCAAAACTTCAGTTGCTTTTCTTTTTCAGCTTTCCACTTAACTCAGTGTTTCAGTTCTGACAAGTTTTACTTGTTTCACCCAACCACATTTCACTGTATCACTTAAGTTATCAAAATCTTGTTACACTATATGCTTTTCAGCTTTGGCTGGCATTGAATGGTACAATCATAGAATTCTTTAGTTTGGAAAAGACCTTTAAGATAATTGAGTCTGACCATAAACATAACAGTGGCAAGTCCCCCACTAAACCGTGTCCCTGAGCACCATCTGCATGTTCATACTACATGTACTAGAGATGTTTATCATTTCAGCATATGAAAATTACTTCATGTCAGTGTAAATAGCTCTCTAAAATAAACAAAATACTGAGATTTACAGTCTTTCCACTTTAGAGTTTAAATACTGATTTTTGTCAAATGCCAAAAAAATTTACTTAAGCTGTTGTTTAAAAATTACAATTATTAGTCCCTTTATTTATTTCTTCCTGGAGTCTTTAAACTAAAGAAACTAGAACTTGAGAAACTAAAATGGAGTTGCAGTTAGGACTGTTGTAGTTAGCACTGGTTATGTTAAAAAAGGCTTATTTGCATACTGTAATATTTGAAAGTCCTGTAGATTACAGTGAAGAGTAACTGTACAGAAGCACCTGACATCCCTTTTGGTTTTAATGTGAGCTATCTGTCACATTAACCTTTCTTGCAAATATAGTATTTGTGCCTGTGTTCTCTGATCATTTAAGCGGGTGTATTGAGCTATGGCCAAGAATGTGTCATTTCTGTGCCAATCAGGTTTCAGAATCGTATTACTGGTTATTGTCTTGGTATTCAAATATTTAACAGTTTATTTCAGCTAGCACTTACGAGGTGCTTTCTTAACATGGTGATGTGTTCTTAATAAAACTTACGCTTTGACTTACATGCTTTTGGAAAAACAAAGTGGATTTTACTAATTTGTCTCCAAATAAATGTTTTCCCCAAAACAGTGAAGATAATGGACAACACACTCGTATCCTTGATGACAAAGAAGAAATACGAGACTGTGATAGTCAGTACTCTGTACAGAATATTTTTCCATCATGTAACAGAAAAAGTAAAATAAAAGCTCTTGCAAATAAACTCGGTGTTCACAAAGTGGGAAATACTCAAGAAATAGAAGAAACACTTCCTATGATACACGAGCAGAATATTCCTGCTCTACCCAAGACTCCTTCCAGCCCTGATGTCATAATAGAAGAAATATTTGAAGATGACGTGGAAAGTAAGTTTTTAATACTGGATGTGTTCAATGTTCCATTCTTGAGCCTGATGTTATTTATGTGGTTTATATGATGTTGTGTGTTTGTAGTTATACTTGGCTTGTATGAATTCTTTAATGGTGCCTGTGTTTCACTTTATCCTTTGAGTTAGTAGAATTTCTTTTTTGTCCTCTTTCAGCTTAGCTTAGTGAAAACTCTCACAAGTTTGCTCAAAGAGGGGTCATAAATTCCTGTGTTTGCCTGGATAATTCTCTTTGACTCTTAATTACTACAGTCCATCTTAGAGTTTCTGACATTGGCTGGAGAATGCTCTTCTGGCAGTTCTTTGGCTTCCTGAATCTTCTCCCAGGGTGTTGTTCTACTTGAACTGTCAATAACTTAGCTTCTTCAGTTTGTCAGATATTGCCTGGACTGTATGAGTAAGCATGTAGCTAACAGGTCCAGGAAGTGATTCTTCCCTCTGTTAGGCTGTTGAGAGTAGTGGAGTACTGTGTACTTAATGTGAACTACTGTGCCCAGTTTTGCACCCTGCAGTACTGTAAATCACTCTTATATTGGAGCGAGTCTAGCAGAGGCCACTAAGCTGATGCCTAGGAGGTGCTCAGGGATAGGGCTAAAGGCATTAGGAACAAATTGGAATACGGAAATGCCAATGAGATAATGACGTGGGGGAGGAATAGATAGATATGTCTCACAGTATAATTAAGATGCTTAACGTCAGAGCATTCTGCATTCACAACATGCCTAGAAAATGTGTGTCGTTAGTAATGCTTGAGGAGAATGAGAGAGAGGGTAGGGGTGGTGAGAGTAATTGTAGTAACATACAGCTGTGATCAGAGTGAAGTAGGTTTCAGAGCCTGGGCACAACTGTCTAAACCAGTGTATTTCAGAATCCCAGTGGACTTCACAAACCTCTTACTGGAACAAAATTCCTTCAAACTGCAGTATTGTATGAGTTTTGCATGTCTTGAATCCAAAACTTTTAATGGTGGTTCTGTAATCTGGGAATTAGCATGCAGGCTGGCCACTGCACATAGTCACTGTGTATGTATCTGTTCAGTCACATCAGATAGGAGAATTTTTGCTGTTGGAGTATCCTTGCAATACATGCAATGTCTCTTTACTGTATTTGCTGCATTACTACCTATGTATAAGTGCATTGTGCCTTTCTTCTAAAATAATGAACAGCATTTCCCACAGAATGTCATGCTGATGAACAGAAGAAGAAACTCTTTGAGAAAGAAGTGCCTTTTCAACACAAAGCTGGTTAGTGGCTTTCCTGTCTGGTAAATGGTTTAGTTTAATAGGGATCCATCATCTAGGTCGTGAGAGCAGATACTGGAATTAGTTGAAGAGTTGGACACATGCATTAGCATTCTAGTTGTGATCAAGAATGTACTAGGAAGCAGATCTGACCATCCCTAGTTAGCATGTATTTGCTCACATGTAAGAGCAGAGTTTGAGTACATGATTCTGTTACAGTTAAAAGTAGTCTGGGAGATGCTTGCAGTACAAATGTTATTTTTAGCACAAGCATTTTTCCTCTGCAAAAGCACTCCCTGATCTGCTTTCCTTGCTCGTGTGAAGACAATACTGTCTTACAGTTTACTATGAAACCACGTAATTGGAAGATGCAGTACAGGAATTACCAAGCAACTCAGCACTTCCAGTGCTTCTCAATACTTGGCAGATATTTGACATAATGATAGCAGTGCCAGCTGTGAACAGTGGGACCCATTTCTTAGGTTGGTAGTTCATATACTGAATTTTGAACTGTTGCCTTGTTCTCCGTCCATCTGTGTTTGGTTTTCTGAATTACGAGTGAACCAGAGAAACTGAGGAAATAAGTTACTTCATTCAAAAATTGTGCAGGCACAGTTCATGTGGTGCTTTGAGCTTTGCTGATTGTTGAGTATAAATAGTAATGAAAGTGGAAGAATAGAGGCTGCAGTATTGAGGAAGAAGAAAACTGACCTAAGAAGTTGACATAGAAGAACAGCTGGGAAAAGATGTGCCTTAATCTAGGACATAAAATAGTTGTAGTGAAGAAAAAAGATAAACTGCTTTTTATTATTTGTTGGTTGGGAGTTTCTTTAACCTCGGGGTCATGTAAATATGCTTTCCTGGTGACAGTTTCTGGTTCCATAACTTGAGAATTCACTGGCTTCTCGTAGTGGGACTTGCTTGACAGTGTTATAGAAGTTGAGCAGTTTAAGTCCATAACAGATTCTTCAGAAATAAGGTGTTAGCTGAGAAATTCTCCCAGTGCCCATACTGAAGTTAATGTGGTATGTGCTCACCCTGTATTAGATATCAAAAAACTAACATGGAGAAACACCTCACAGCTGTCACAGTTGTGTGGTAAGTTTGAGCCTTACCAGACATTTAAATTAGACTATTTCTCATGTGTATTTTAAGAGATTAAGTGATCACAGATTTACTTGATTGGTTTTATCAGTAATATGCTAAAATACATACTGTGTGCAGTATTGGATTTTTTTGGATTATGGGAAGCATAATTTGAAGTTTGATATAATGAGTTTTTCATTCTGTCCTGGTAGTAGGGCTAGTTATCAGACATAATAAATATTTGATAAAATTTTCAAATCCTTTTCAGGCAGCTGTGGTTTGTTGGGATGTTTTTGGTTTGCATTTAGTTTAAGGAACATGCTCAAACAGCTTAAAAGCCTTCAGTGATCCAGAACTTGCCTAGTTCGTGACACTTTTTTTGGCTGGAGGTATCAGCCTCTGCTTGATCTAGTGAAGTGCCTGTCAATACATGCTTTTCCGGGTCTGCTTACGGTAGCTGAGTCATCACATCATTGTAGATGGTGACCAGGAGTGATACAGAAGAGTTAGTGTACTTGTAGGTGAAAGCTTTCAAGTCATTCAGACTTGACATTCAGACATTCAAGACATTTTACTGAGATACCGTATTTTCCACTGGAAATGCTGAAGAGTAATCTTACATCTGTTCTGGACACTGCATTTCCTGAACTTCCAAGCACAGTCATGTGTACATGGTCAGTATGTTTCAGGTGCCAGGTTCTTTGTACCATCTTCTGCCACAATTAGCTGTAGCTCAAGAGATGGGCACAGAGATGGCAGAGCTCTAGAATGCTGCAAATCTGTCTGTGTCCTGATCAGTCATGAAGATGGCATTGGATCTAGATGATGCTGTCCACTCTTTGCAGGAGGTTTTGTGATGTAGAATACTTTGTGTAGGAATTGAGTTGCTGGGCTTCTAAAACCATCTGACCTATTCAGCAGCTTGCATGAGTAGAATGAGAAACCTGCATTTTAGATCCAAAATTAAGGGAGGTACCTGCAGTACAAAGGATTTGGATGCTTAGTAAGAAGTACTGAGTTTTTTATGCAGGGATGTCTCTTGGCTAGCTTTAGGTGTTTATGAGTTACACTGAGTAACTATACAAAAGTGCCTGGCATACTTGTTCTTAAATGTGTCTTAATCTCTCGAATTTGCCTTCTAAAAGCTTCTTATTTCTCTGTTGAATAGAGGGAATGTGAACTCTGAATTTCCTACTTAAATTCAGGCTACCACTTTGCAAGCAGTGATAGCCTGCTTTCAGAGTGGTTTTTCTGTTGTGGTTTTGTTTTTTTTTTTAGTGTAGCATAAGGGAGGTAGTTTAAAAAAGCAGATTTAGCCAGAAAACAAGCATGGTATCTAGTTTGAAACAAGTGTGAGCAAACTTGTCAGATTAAGAGCTTTTTGAGCTAATGTTATCATGATTAATGCAACATAAACCTAATCTCATGTCTAATAATATCTGTTGGAGTCACTTGGAGTGTTCAGTTATCTGTTTTCTGCCTTACTCAGGTTTGACAGAACTAGTGTTTGTAACCCATGTTATAAATCCATGCCACTTCTATGTTCAGAGATACACACAGAAGAGAGAAGCAGGGGTTTTGGAGAAGAAATTGAAAAACTACTGTAATAAGAGTTCATCTATCTTGCCTTCAGATGTTTTGGAAATAGGTAAAGTACTGATTTCTAAAGGGCTACATTAGAATTGTAAAATGGTTTGGATTGGAAGGGTTCCTAAACATTATCTAGTTCAAAGCCCCTTGTCACAGGGGGATTCTTTCCTTACTTCAGTAAATTAGCTTTCTCTCATGCAAGCAACATTCCCTTGAAGTTCACTAACTGGGTAGAAACTATTCTCAGAGTAAAAACCAGAGACAGCAATATATTGCTAAATCATTAAAAATCTCTTCTAGCCCACATGTTAAATGTTACTCACTTCTAGAAGGTGCTTAGAAACCTGATAGGAAGTATGTGATAGCTCTGAACTTCAGTGGGTTTTCACCATTATTAAGAGGTACAGAGTTTCCCAGAAATTACGTAATACAAGGCAAACACCTCCTAGCGGTACAGATATTGTGTAAATGAACGTGGGGAGAAAGCTTCTGGTGGCTGTCAAGATAATGTTTCTAACGTGTTTTGTGTGTTTATTTTAGCAGTAGCCCATTTACTCTCTCTGTGGAAGAGGGGCAACAATGGAACATTATGCAGAACTGTAATAATAGTCCCGGTATGACTTATCTTCAAATACTGAATTTTTTCTTTTTTTTTTTTATTTGCTTCTGTGTAGGTGCTAGAGCTTTTATTAAGAGTAAGGAAACTGGAATGTGGTGCCGTGGAACCATCACTGATTTAATTCCTCTAAAAAGTGAAAATGAGAAGGAGCCTTGTGGTCCAATAAGATGCAAAGTTTGTGATATTGCGCTGCTGGAAGCATTCCTGTTTGATTTTGGGAGCTCTATAGTTCTAATTTTCTCAGGGTATGTTTACAGAGAAGGTTTCTCATCTGCAGTTGATTGATGTTAATCAGAAGGATCATTACTAAGAAGTCCTCCATCAGCTTCACACAAGCAGATAATCGGGTACCCAAATGACACTAACATTCTATACATACGTATTTCCCACAGGAATGTGGCAACGTATTTAAGTACACAACTGTACAAGCCTCCACATGTTAAAATACTTAACTTAGACTTGAATTGAAAAAGAGAACCTGAGTCTTCAATGTTAAGAAAAAAAAAAGGCATTTTGTTGAGACTCTTAATTTTGTTTCAGTGACATGACATCATGCCAGTTACTGGAATAATGACCTCTATTTTAAGTCTGGGGTTTGGTTTGGTGTAGGTTTTGGTGTTGGGCTTTGGTTTTTGCTTTTTTGGGTTGTTGGATTTTTTTTTTTTTTTACTTTCAAGCTTGCACTGCTTCTACTCCCTTTGACAATAGGTATGTCCCTGCTGAAAGGCCTGAACCTGCTACTCTCCAGACTATTGAAACAGATGACATTAGTTTGTTTATAAGAAAGCCTGATCAGAATATTGAGGCAGAACTTGCAGCTGTTCCTCCGTTAGCAGTACGGTGTTCATTGAAGGATGTTGTTCCCAAAAATGCAGTAAGTAAAAGCTGTTTGTACTATTTCAGGATATTTTTTCCTTCTCCTAAGATTTATACTGAAGAACTTAAATACATAATGTACATAGATCTTGTTCCAGTATAAACAGAAGGAAATTCAAGAGTACAGGGTGTATTTTATTTAAAAGAAGTTAGATAATCTCTTGTTAAAAAAAAAAAAAAAAGTGGGTTGAGTACTTTCATTGGAAAGGAAATGAGTTTATAGCAGTCTGTCTTTAAAAGCCTTTGGGTTTACAAATACGTCAGGCTTAAATCTCACTGCTCTTACTCTAGGCATGTTCTCCTGTCAAATTTAAAAACAAATTAAAGAACTGGTATTTCATGGCTGGCTGATAACTTTATGTAAGTAGTAACTTTTAAAAACCATCCAAACAGAAGAAATTGCTTCAGATTTTTTAAGGGGATCTTCAGCAATTGTCCTTTGTAAATTTTTTTTCTTTTTCTGCCACTATTGAAAAGTTACTTTTTTTGTTTCAGTATAGCAACAAATAAAGTACTGTCAGCCTTTATTCGCTTAGAAAAGTGACATATTTTGCAGCATTATTTTCTTCAGTATTCACTTATCTATTAGGCTCTCTTTATTTTTGCCACATTCACATGGGATTTAATTATGTCCAAAGCAGCTGTGCATTTCTGACTGTGTAACTGCTGGTTGGTTTTGTGGGTTTTCTGTACCAGTCTCATGTTGTCTGAAATAGCTTTAAATAGGAAGGATCAGAAACAGTTTTTACAGGTGTAGGTAAAAATCCTTCCTTCTATGTGCTGTTAACACCTAAAAAGCACAGATTTGCAGTATCAAGTGAGAAGTGCATTAACTTGATCCAAAATAAATAAATTCAGACAGGCTTTCTCAAGGTAGATTAAATGTCAAGGAGGATATTGTGGAGAGGAGGAATGTGTTAATTGACCAAACTATGTTATACATTTGTAGAAAGACACAAAAAGATAAGAATAGATTTTGAAACAAATCGGGAGAGCAGAAATGTAAGTATTATATTAAACAGCCTATGACAATTCTGTTTTATCTATCAGAACAATCAGAGGGGATGAAATTTTGAAACTTTAAAAGAAATGTGGTGAAAACTGCACCCTTTTGATCTGACTCAGCTATGTACACATAAAAAACCTTACAAATCCATTATGCAAGAATAGTGTTGTCTGGGCTATGGATAGACAGTCTTAACTGTGTTCAGTATTTCATCTGCTCACATGTCTGTGCTCTCTTTCTTGTGTATTTTTATTTTTATTTGTAATTTTTTCTTTTAACATTCTCTGATATCTTCCGTAACTTTTTATTTCTTCCTAACACAGAGTGAAGGTTGGGGAGAGAAAGCAAACACAACATTTTTAGGAATGGTAAATAACAAAACAGTTTTAATGACCATATTTAGAGAAGAGGATGGTGTTCTCATTGTGGATTTGAAAAAACCTCCATTTAATAACATATGCAGTAACATGCCATTGTCTCTCAAGGATGCATTAGTTTTTTTAGATTTGGCAAGGTATGTGTTTTTCTTTAGTTAATACTTTTATGCCATAAATTATAAAGCATATTACTTGTGAAATTTACCAGGCAAGTTGGTTTTGAGTGTCTGATACATTAATCTTCAGCCATACTTGTTGATACCCTTTTTTCACCTGCACTAGTAAGCACTGTGGTATAAATTTGTGCCCTAGTCAGGGTTTTAGTTAGATAATGAACCTTATTTTAGAAAATGATAACATTTAAATTTCTGTGCAAGTTTGAAGAACGGGGGGTAAAAGGTGTCTTGCCATGGACAGAAAAACGTAAAGAAATCAGCCTTTTATATGTTTGATTTGGATGGATGGCAGTGACAGATTAGTCACCACATCAGAACCGGCCATGTGATGTGATGCATGTAGCACAGCAAATAGGAGGAACAGCCATAGGGGGTTAAGGACAGAGGAGAGCTGCTTTGAAAAGGATAGTGGAAGAGGCAGGAAATGGAGAACAACATGAGTGTTTTGGTGTTTGGGTACAGAGGTACAGCATGCAAATCTGTAGGAAATTGTTTTGCTGCACACAAAGAAAGGTCTTGGTTTATATTTGAGGATAACTACTTATGGTGGTGAGAACAGTGAGAGATGATTTTTTTACTGCATCACTATTTCTCAGGTAATCGCTTTTTCTCATGAGTGACGTAAAGGAAATCTTAAAGTGTTTTGCTAGTGGATTCTAGTATTTTACTTACAGCATTCTTTTTAAGTTTTGTGTGAGGAAAACAGCATTACAAAGAATTGCCTGCACCAGCTGTGAGGAGGAAAGTTGAAGCTATTCATACAAATATGAATCAAACTATTTTTATAAGACCATTCTGTGAGGGTTTTTTTGTGAGAAACTTGACATTTGAATGTAAAAAGGTTCCTTCTCTGCTAATTTTGACATTATTTATTCAGGATTTTTTTTTTTTTACCTTAGGTATAGATCTCAGCTTCCCAATCAGTTAGAAAATAATGCCATCTTAAAGTACAGTCCACCAAAGCTTCCACAAGAAGGCGAAGGCATCTGTGTCATAGTTTGTCACATTAATAGTCCCAGTGATTTCTATCTGCAGTTGGTAAGTTTAGAAACAAGGTCTATTTAAATAAAATTCTGACTGAATATTTTAATGCTGAGTTACTTGTACTCCATATTAAATAAGCTACGATTTCCATTAATTTCTGTCAGTTGTTACCAGTTTTTGGATTCGTAGAATTAATAGATCCAATTCAATTCCTACAGTCCTAATTAATCCTAGATTATTTGCATGAATTCTTAAAATTCCAGGAAGTTAACTTTTTTTTATGTTGCATAGTTAATTCCTATATGGGTATGTAGTGTTCTACTGTTCACAGTGGTGATTGAACAGGGCAATAGTCAATGTTTCTTAGGCTTTTTAATTTACATATTCATAACCACTGTTAAATCTGGGGGAAAGACTAGAAAGTACACTACTAGAAAAAGTGTCCCTTAAAAGAGCAGATACCCTTAAGCAAAATAAAACAAAATGCAACATCTGGTGTCTATGTATGTTTTGTTTTTCTTATTTTAGAGAGAGAGTCCAGATTTTTTAGCTCTTTCAAAGAAAATTCAGGAGGTATATAAACGTGACTATGGGAAAAACATGCAAATTGTCCACCCAGTTGAAGGACAAGCCTGTGTTGCAAAGCAGGAAGATGGGAATTGGTACAGAGCACAGATTACTGGTGAAGTACTGATTCTTTCACTCTAATGCTAGGTGGCAAAATCAGGTATGGTACTAGATCAGAGTCACACATTGGATATGAACAGTGGCAAACAGCTGTTATTTTTACTAGGCAGTCATAGACTACCAGGTAAATGCATAAAGTCAGTAGCAGCAATTCATGTTATATTCTTTTGCTATTAATGGAGTGGTTTATACATTTTTTTTTTTAAATGAGAAGCAGTATACTTAATTTTCTATGTATTATTGAAAATCTTTATATAATTAAATAATGTTTCATCTAATTTAATGTATAGGTTTATCTGTTATAGCCAACCTCTGTGGTAGCTAATGCAGGTTAATAATTCTCCATTGTAATTTTAAACAGGAGGGGGAATGTACTTGTGCTGACCTCTCTGTTGCCTGTATGGGCAGTGTAGCATGCCTGTATCCTTCCATGTCTACTTGGCCTGTATTTAGTGTGCCAGTGTCTCATACAGTCATTGGAAGGGGGCATCAAAGTGCCAGCTGTCATTTCAGGAACCCAAAAGAGCTGGCTCTTAAAGGATATAGTTTTTTAATCGGGTTGTAGAAAATGTGGTATTTTAGGATTATATGGTGTAAATGTTGATTTTTGCTCTGAAATTCTGGTGCTTTAATCTGCATCAGGTACTCCATTTTTTGTTTTAGTAACTTGGGTTGTTTTACTTGAAGGGCTGCCAAGTCATCAAGAAGTTACGGTGAAGTATGTTGACTACGGCAGTGTTGCTAACTTAACTCATAAAGACATACGTAGAGTAAAAAAGGAGTTTCTGAGCTTTCCAGAAAAGGTAAATTAGTGTTTGCCCAGATTAAATACTTGGAATTAATAGAATCTCAATGCATGAAAGGGGAAGGAGAGGATTGTTAATATTCTGAAGTAAATAAAAGGGTAAGCAAGTTTCTTTTCATATGGGTTTATGATGTGATTGGTCTTAACATGGTTTGGGTGCACATTATGTAATTCAGTTTTCAATGAAATCTAATGTTAGCTTGTGGTGGGGAGGTATATATATACATTGTGTGTGCTTAATTCATTTACCTTCTTTTACTCCAAAAAACAAAGTCATTTTCGCATTCTTTTACTTTCAAATGGTAATCTAATGATGGTCTTAAGAAAAAACAAACACAAGCACAAAAGGTTCTTGTTTGGTTTATGGCACTTAGAGTTTGGTGTTTTCCTAACTTTAGGTATGGTAGGAGTTTCCCTCTTTTGACAAGGAGAAAGAAAACAGTGGGGAAGGCAATTGCAAAGTATTCTGTCAAATAAAAAAAGCACTTCAGTAGGAAGCAATTATTTTTCTTCAGCTGTTTATTTGTTGGTTCCGGTTACCAGTCATGATTATGCTAAACTTTAAAACTTCCTATGTTTTATAGAGGGCATTTAACCAGTTGTAGGCAACAGAAGTAGTGATGGTTGTATCTAAAGTTGGCCAGTATCTACTGAAAATAGGATTTAATTGTTTATATTATGAGTAATAACTGGAGAAAGTTTCAGCCAAAATAATTGAGCCTTTTTTGACAGCAAGGAAGAGGAAACATTCTGAAAATGGCAAAATGTTCTTCCTTTTGCAGAGTCTTAACGCTTCAGATCAGAGCACCTAATGGATTAAATAAGGGTGTTGGGATTTTTGCCATGTTAATCCCATTATTCCAAATGATTGCTTGTTATTAACCAAATATAAGTCCTCATAAAAATCTGCTAAGTTTGTCAGCTCTTGAGTACCTGCTACTAGGCCTCTTCACTTTGAACATAAAGGAGAAGGGGCTAAAGAATCTAAGTTGTTTGTTTAAGAGATTTGAATTAGGCAATTACAAGAGAAGTTGGACTTTCTTCAGCACATTAACACAGTTTGTGTGTTATTGTTAACACATTTTAATGGACTTGGATGGTGCAGAAATCTTGGCTAAGCCTGGCATAAGCAATGCTTAATGTAGTGTTGGTTTTGTCATCCACAGCTCTTCCTTTTAATGGTTATTTAACCTGTCAGTCTTTATTTTCATATCTGACTGCCTGGGACCTAAGAATATCTGCACAAAACATTCGTATTTCTATTGTCTTTTTTTTCTCTTTTTTTTCCCTCATCTGTGTTACTCTCTCCTTCAGCGCAATAAAGAAGAAGGAAGAAACAATGACATTCACAGTTAATTTAAAATAAAGTCATAGTGTAGCATAGTTTGCAATAAAAATGCTAAACAAAAATTCTAATCAAAGTACTTCATCTCGTTTGGCTTCCTTTGTGTCTCTTTTGCTTTTTTATGTCTCCTAATTAACACCTCTCAAAAATCTGGCAGGAATTTTCTGATATAGGAACTATGGTGTCTCTGTGTTTAGTGGTTCAGGTTTCTACAATGGTTTAATAACGTTGATATTAGATGCTCCAGTCAAGATTATTGCATCATAAGCAAAGCAGGATGAAGGCTTTCTTTATCACTCTCTGCAGTAATCTTTGCTGATCTCTGCACTAGTTCTACGCCTAACCATAAAGGGAGGCAAGGAGAAGTAAGGCCTTTCTATTTCAGCAAGAATGTGTCTGAATTTGAGGTTCATGCTCAGGTGATGGGGGTTGTCATCTAAAATCTAGCATTGGTAATGTAGAATCTTGTCATCCTGTCGTCTTGTCCTGCATGAGTGCAGAGCAAAGGCTGTGATTTGGCTGTAGTGAGATGGTCTTGATAGGTGATGGTAGATACATAATTTGAGTTATTCTTTAGGCAATTAGGTGCAGGCTGGCTTACATTGAGCCTTATAAAGGGGCAAATGAGTGGAGCAGAGAAGCCAAGGAACGATTTGAAGAAGTGCTTGAAGATAAACTTACAGTGTGTTCAGTTGTTGGTAAGTTATCAAGTGTGTATTAATTTGTTTATTATTAAAATGGCTCAAATGTAGAAACATGGACTTTTAAATAGTATTTACTTGAAATGCTTATGTTCATTCTTACAACAGGTAGCCTGGAGTGAGAATATCTAAACATGAACTAATTGGAAGAGGCATGACAGATAAAACTGACAAAAGCTCTGTTTATGTCATCCCTTACAGTTCACACCAGCATTAAGGGATAAAAGTATCCTGGTTATCAAGACGGGCTTGTTTCCAAAAGCACTAGCTATCCTTGACTCTTAAATATTAGTAGCTGGGAGTGTGATCACTGCTGCTCTAAAACATGGCGAGGGAGGGATTTCAGATGACACTTACATGCCTTAGCAGGATTTTTCTCAATACAATACCATTTATTGTTAATATGTAGCTAGTTATTTTTCAGTGCCTGTGGAGTGGTTTGGAAACCATATTATTGGTGTACTTTAAGTTAATCTTAATAGTGGCAAGCTAAGCCACTATTGTTGATGCTCAGAAACAATTCTTTTATAAATCAAATGTAATTTTAAAAATTCTGTATTTTAGTACCACTTGCCATGCCTTCAAAACCATAAATTGTCCTTTTATTGTCTTTGATCAGCACTAATTATATTATTCATTCACAGAAATTTTAGATAACATCTTATCTGTTGAACTTTTTTACTCCTCTGCTGTTCATGGAAGAAGATTTAGTATTAACTGTCAGCTAGTTAAAGAAGACCTAGCATCCAACATACCTGGGTAAATACACTGTGCATAACTGAGAATATTTGGAAATACTGAATTTGCGTAACAAAATTACTTGCTTTAGTATGTCACCCCAGTGGCTGGAATTTAGCACATTCATTACAAATCACATTCATCAACTGACATGTTACAGAGCATAACTTTGCAGTTTGGCATAATTGAATTCTCAGACTAAATCTTGCTGAACATAATCTATTGAAATTGTAATTGACTCAAAAACTGGAGATTAAATGTTTATAACATACTTGCAGTGTACTTAAGTTCCAGATGTTCCCGAACTGCTTATCATTAAGGTTCCCATTCCCTTGTAGTAAGACAAGAAATAGCACTTTTGTGTGTTTAACTTGCACCTGAGGTAAGTCATCTCTTTGGAAGGTCTGCTACTAGAAAGCAAATAGTCTCTATAACCAGCTATGACAGCAACGGACAGAATTGTTGGGAAGCCTGCTGGGGGAGATGAGACTGATAAGCAGATAGCACTGCTGCATTTAATTTGTTGGCCTTTTAAAAAGATAACTCATGGGCTGTATTCATGAAAATCAGTAATTTTGCTTTCATTCATTATTTTTGAATACTAAACAAAATAGAAAAATTGTTAAATAGAAATGGTTTATTCCAGAAGGGAATCCCTAAATTTGCTTTTTTTCAGGGGGAGGCAAATAAGTGCATTTTCATTTCTTAGCCAGAAATACTACTAAATCCTAGCAACAGTTTTCTTTTACTGGTTTTAATTTTAACTCAGATTTTTGTAAAGTTAAGTATCTTTATTTAAACTGAAATGCTGAATTGTTACTGTCACCAGGGTATTCTGTTGTGTTGCAACTATACTTAGATGTCTGCTTATGATCTGCAAACAAGTGCAAACTTAAGTAACAAACTAGTACAAGACAATAAGAGCAGGACACAATGCTCCTTTGAAGCTGACTTGCTGACAAGCAAATGTCAGTAACCTTACTCTTGCATTGGGATAGGAAGTAGTCCATACAGAATTCCAGGAAGAAACTGTGGAGTCTGAAGTTCATTCTAAATTATTTTTTTCTGATGTATCTGCTATGATAATGCTATACTGGACTTAGTAGAGAGGTGGTAGTAAGACGTGTAATGTGTTTCACTTGGAAGAGCTCTCTCTGGCTGATCGCCTCTGTCCTTTTCATAGTTCAGACTTAGTTGTTGTCAAGATATGCGCTTTTATGAGCTGTGGTGTTCATTTCTTTCCTAGTTCTACAAGTTAGCTGTTTTAACCAGCACTTCCCAAATACCTGCCTCAGGAAGGTTCACATAAATAATTTTGTAGCAGTATGTAGTAGATGATTCAATACTTCGTCACTGTGGAATTTTCTCTCTGGCAGAGAAGTTCGTTTCCTTTATGGAAGGAAAAGACAGGTGGTAGATCTCCGAAAACTGGGAAGAGTTTCTTCCAGAGGCCCAGAAATGGCCAGCAGTTAAACTGAGGCTTGCTGTTTCCTTTAGTTCTTGATTTTTACAAGAAAGCAGTTCTTCTGCATAAACAGGTGCTTTTGCAAGCTGCAGTCTCTTGCATCTCTAGTTGTCATAATTCACAGAGACTTGTACTAAGCTGGGCTGTGGCTCAAAATACGTACCAGCCAACTCTTGCTGCTGGGATTTATTCTGTCCAGTTCACACAATTTAACACGTTTTCATCAAGATAATACCACAGCTATGCTTCATTCAGTACTCAGCTGTTAGACCAGTTGCGTTGCATTTGTTTTCTCAGGGTATGCCAGAGAGGTAAATCATAAAATCATAAAATAGTTTGGGTTGGAAAGGACCTGAAGATCATCTAGTTCCAGCCTCCTGCTATGGGCAGGGACACCTTCTGGACACCAGCCTGGCCTTGAGCACTTCAGGGTTGGAGCATTTGCAAATGTTCCAGTGCCTCACCACCCTCAACAGCAAAGAACTTCTTCCTTATATCTAACCTGACCTTCTCCTGTTGAAGTTTAAACCCATTACCCCCTGTCCTGTCACTGCGGTCCCTAATGAAGAGTGTTTCCCCAGCATCCTTGTAGGTCCCCTTCAGATACTGGAAGCCTGCTATGAGGTCTCCACACAGCCTTACATTCTCCAGGCTGAACAGCCCCAACTTCCTCAGCCTGTCTTCATATGGGAAGTGCTCCAGGCCCCTTATCATCCTCGTGGCCTCCTCTGGGCTTGTTCCAACAGTTCTATGTTTCACTGAAGTTAATATCCTTTATTTCTGAAAGGAATATTTACAGAGAAGTTGAATGTTGCAGCCTTTACTCAAAGGCAACACAGCTTCCCAGAAGCATGATATTAGTAATTCTTTTAAGCCAGGCACAAATGTTAATGTTCAGCAGCCCATATGTGTCAGGCTTGCTTTTCTGCTGACAGGCCATATTGCATAATGCTTTCATCTGATAGTAGAATCTGCAAGGATATCTTCTGAAGAAGAATAAAAATGTTACTACCATGAGTGTTTCAGAAATAGCATTTAGAACTGATTTTGTCTTTTGCTGGGGGGGGGGGGGGGCAGGGGTCTACTTTTCTGAGTTACTCTTCATTCAGCCCTCTTGAATGATTCCTGTCATGTTGAAGTGGGATTATTGAGCTCTTTTTTCATTTTGTTTAAAATGTGTTTAAACTTTCCATTCTAAGTATTTTATTTTTTTTACAGGTATGTTGACAGTACTGGTGTAGAGCCTAATAAAATATGGAATCTTCCTATAGAAGAAATTCCTAAAACCTTAGAAGCTTTAAATCCTATAGACATGGAATCCATGGATGAAGCAAATCTCAGATTGCTTTGTAATAAACAGCTACAAGTGAGAATTAGTCATGTTGTGTCTCCTAGTAAAATTTTTGTACAATGGCTGTCATCAGAACATACACTGAAAAGGTACTAAAATTCTAAGAACTTTTCTCAAGGCATTTGAATGATAAACTGGTGAAGTATAGCTAGAACAAGCTCTGATTACGGTTGCATTTGGTACTGGGTACTCTTAAATCCTGTTGACTTTATATGGCTTCATTGAGCAAAGTATAGGAACAAAAGACAAATGGACACTATGTTGTGGTTTATTAACTATTTGTGATTTCAAATTAAGTATATGATCTGACTCCTATTTCAAATCAGCCTAAATGTAGTAAGTATTGGGGTCTGACGAATGTAGCACTATCCAAAATAATGAAGTCTCTCTGCTTGCTTTTCTCCTCCCCATTCCTTCATTAGAAATCTTATTAAATAATACTGGTATCCTAAGTCATAGAATTCCAGTCAAGTATTTCTTTCCACACAATTCTAATATGTTGCTAGAAAAGTTTGAAGGCAATTTCTAGACATAGTGTATCAGCCTTCCTTTGGTAAATATTTAGGTAACATTTAGATAATAGTGTTTGAAGATAGTGAAATGGAAATGTCATTGCTTAGTGCAACTTGCTTACTTCCTGCCTCTTCTCATTTTTTCATCTTTTTACTTTCTTGCTTGTAGCTACCTAAAGTCCCATTGAATTTGTCATGACACTCATTTAGTGTCATGATACTTTTCAAGCTGTTGCGAGAAAATAGTGCATCTTTCAAATAGTGCTATATAGAACAGTAAGGATCACTCAGATTAAATCCGTTGTTTAAAAAAACATGATAGCTTTACAGAATTTTAATGAGATCGCATGTGTTTTGAAGCCCCATTTCATGTTTTTCTAACATGCCATGAAGGAAAACAATAAAATACTGAACAGTTAATAAAATTTCAGTGTATGCTAGTTGAACAGCAATTGACTAAATAAACCTTTTATTCACTGGATAAAATTATACCACTAGAAAAGGAGTTTTTTTGAATGTTAGTTTACAGGAGAAGATGGCTGCCATCTACAAAGAAGTCCAGCTCCATGTCGTGAAGTGGGAAAGTGGAATGCACTGTGCTGTTTATGTACATGATTTGAAACAGTGGCAAAGAGGTCAAATAAGCAGGATTGTCTCTGAAACAAGTGCAGAGGTAAGCCTTGTAACAGGGTTCAAACTTGTATTTCTAAAGTTTGTAACCATTCATTGATTAAAATAATGTCAAATCTTTACTTCTTCTTTGCTAATATTTTCTCGGAGCCTTTTGCTTTTACCAAGAGTTTAAGTTATTTGTATGTTGCTGCAAATAAGGTACTGTCTCACACCTTTAGCAGGGAACCTGGGAGCTCAGGAATGCTCATGAGGTTGACTATGTGTATGTTTACACTACACTTCGAAGCATGGCACAGATTCCCATGCTATAACCTAACAGTTTAGCTTAGATTCCAGAAGCTGCATAAACCTGAGGGTTGTCACATTAATTCAGACTTAATGATACTTGCTAGAAGATGGAGCCAGTTTAACTGAGTGCACCACTACAGGAACACATGTAGTCAGGCTGTTGCTTGGGCCCCGAACAGATGGTGATGCACTGTGCACTTAAATTTAACACTTCCACAGTAACTTTTCACACAGTGCTGCTTTAAACATGCATTTTGTTGCACTCATTTGGAAAGAAAAAGGAGCATCAGAAGAGGCATTTCAGGAGTAGATCACAACTGCTTGCCTCAAATGTAGGAAGCAGAAATGGGACTTTTTATACTTCTGCTTTGCATCATCTGCTTTTTAAGGCTAAGAGCCCTCAAAGAGCTATTGAACTATGTCAGACTAAAAAGCAGTTGGTGGAGGGGAGCTGTTTCAGTATTCCTAGGTCTACAGATATAAACTCTGCATAACTGAAGCACATCAAAATAAATTTTCTTACTCAAATAAGAGCCTCTGTAAAGTTGTTGCTGTTTGAGCATGTTTGTGTGTTTTGTCCTCTCAGTACACTGTGGTGGTTATTTGTGTTGTGTGATGAAGGACTTCAGTGTAAAGTCCATTCGTTGAATGCTGATAATATTTGAATTTTGTTTACCTGTTCAGGCATGCTTCAATTTACCGTTGTTGCAGATAGCTCTAAGAGGGGCGTTTTTTTTGTTTCAGCGTGTTTCTTATCTGAAACAGGTAATGCTTTACGATTCTGGAGCTGAAAAAACAGTTGATATCCACTGTCTAAGAAAACTTGAGGAAAGTATGAAGATAATTAGGACATTAGCAATTGAATGTTCCTTGGCAGATATAAGGTAGCTTTTCTCATATACTGAGTAGCAGTATTAGAAACAAATAATGACATAACTTCATATTTTCCTGTGTTAGCACTGATTATCTGAGATTATCTTAAGTAGTTTGCTTTTTGGATAAAGAAGAAATAAGATGGTGGCTGTGATTATAAAAGGTTGGGTTTTTTTTCCTAAGGGTTATTGCTACATACCACTAAAGCAGAAGTCATGCTACAAATAGAAATAGTATTCATAGGGTTAATTATAAAATCCTGGGCCAGTGGTAAAGATTTTTCTTGTTTCACTGAATGCTTTTTTCCTTGGCTCAGAATTTGAGATGAATCAGATCTCATGAAAACGTACAGGACTTAGACTGTAGAAAAGAGAACAGGCATATTCTCCCATGCATTAGTTTGTGTGACTTCTGCACTGTGAAGGAAAACTAACTATGTTTGTAATACCCATCCCCTGACTGACTATAAAAAGCCTAATTTCTAGATGAAGTATGGATTTTCCTTCATTCTATTAAGGCAGGTATACTTCTGGAACTCACAATCCTCATTTTGAAATTTTGGGATTGTGTTTTTTCAGTTCTTCCTGTCAGATAGATCCAGAGATTAGTAACCATTTCTTTTTACTGTTGACTGTAACAGAGATTGTCATCTTTTCTGTGACATTTCAAGTAGTTAAAAACACAAAAAATGCAGATCTCAGTTGAGGGAAGGCTTTCTGGTTAAGCTCAGGAGATGCCAATTTCTCATGTACTAAGGGAGATTGTAATTTGTTCTGTTAGACCAACAGGTGGAAGCGCACAGTGGACTGCAACAGCATGTGAATGTCTAGATGATTACTTAACTGGGGCAGAAGTAAAAATGATTATACAGGTTTGTATTTGTAGAATTTCTGTCAGGGTGTCATTTCCCCCCCCCCCCCCCTAAATATTTCACTGCTCAAAAAAATCTGAGTGGAACTGGCATAGATTGCTGTTTGCTTTGCAGGAAAAGATGCTTTTTCATTTTCTGCTTTTGTTGTTCATTGAAGTATTAGAGCAGTTTGGCTACACAGTGTGGAAAGAACAGTCTTACATGTATTTAGTTACTGAAGAATAATATTTATATCTTTGGGATCACTGCATGCTGAGAGCTTTTGTAGACAGCAGAAAAAGATGCGGTGTTCTTGATGAGAGTGATTTCAGCAGCTACTATATTAGTTTTTAAGCCTCAGAAACTGAAAGAAGGAATACAGTGGTGCACAAACACCATTGGTTAGCTGGTTTCTTGTAATGGTTAAAATAAACTTACTATTATGCAGGTTTAATTTATTTGGTGTCTGATGTCAGCTCTTTCTAATAAAACAGCTAAGGGAAAAAGGGTTTTATTCTGTTACTTTTTTTAATGTCACCTTTAGAAAGGTTGGTAAAACAATGGGAACTGTGACATGGATTAAATGAATTTTGTGTCTTCTGATGTGAGCAGTTGTTCAGCGACACCCGATTTGCAGTTAATACCAATAAAATAAAAATATACCTGTAGTTTAGAGGAAATGCATATTGTATGTTGTGCTGCTCATTTTTTTCAGGAAAGTAATGGGGCTTGTGCATTGCCTGTGAAAATTCTTTGCAAGGATGAAACAGGAGAATTGGTTGATATTTCAGAACACCTTATTAAAAAGGGTTTGGCTTCTAGAAACAGAAGGTTTGGATGTTTTTCTTTATGTTCTTTCAGACTCCCATATCCACATCATGATAAGCTAATAAGTAAAACAAAAATTTGGATTGTTCTCTACAGAATGTTTAGCAACTGAACTCCATGTTCAGTGAACTCACTTGGGTATAACACTAGTAATTGTATCCATTACATGTTTCGGTTCTCCAGGTTGGTAGATGAGATGTTTGATAGTACTTTAAGAAGCATTTGCCATCTTTGTGTGTTTTTTAGAGTCAGAGAATCATAGAATAGTTAGGGTTGGAAAGGACCCTAAGATCATTTAGTTCCAACCCACTGCCATGGGCAGGGACACCTCACACTAAACCATGTCACCCCAGGCTTTGTCCAACCTGGCCTTGCACACTGTCAGAGATGGAGCATTCACAACTTCCTTGGGCAACCCATTCCAGTGCCTCACCACCCTCACAGTAAAAAACTTCCTCCTTATATCTAATCTAAACTTCCCCTGTTTAAGTTTTAACCCGTTACCCCTTGTCTTATCACTACAGTCCCTAATGAAGAGTTGCTCCCCAGCATCCACTTGTATTATTTCATTCTTTTTCACTTTTCAAGTTCTGTGTCAGTTAATTTGTTGATACAATTTGTTTGAATCTGCTAGAACTGATAAAGCTGATGTGGCTTGCTCAGTCTCCAAGGAACATCTTAAAGTACATTTAAAGCAGGAGAACACACAACTGGATAGCTGGACTTCCAGAATTGTATATGCAAGAAACAGCCTTGCTCTGGAGGAAAGGATCACTGTTCTGGAGTGTGAACAAATACCATGCAAAACATACAACTCACTGCTTCATTCAGGAACTGGTGAAGTATATATGTCCCCTGTTATACCTGAAGCAAAAATTTTTCAAGCTATAGTAAGCTCTATTGGATGCGATGGAACTATTTATATAATACCCAAATCATCTGGTAAGATTGCATAGAAGAAAATACATTCATATCTTGTTAATCTGATACCTTTGGTAAATCAGAGTATACCAGATACATGTTTTAGTATATGTATTCTGTGTCAGAACGCAGTTCTGGAAGATACCTGTTGGACAGGTTGCTGTTGGGAGGTGATAAGGCGTTTGGGATGGAGGTGAGGGGTACATGGCTGTGCACCCTTTGTTCTGTAGGAGTGGAGAGAGGTCCAGCAGATAACCCAGATCCCCAGGAGACAGTGTCCTGTCCTTAAAGCCAACAAAACCAGCTTTCTTTCCACTCTCCCATGAAATCAAAAAACCCTAAGCTATTGGGTGGGCAGGTTACTTGGCTTTCTTCTCTAGGCAGGATTGGGTGAAGCAGCAAGTGGTTTTGGTTTCTTTTTTTTTTATATATATATAATGTTGACATTGTGATACATTTTAACAAGAGTAATGAAATTGCAGTCGTAAAGATTCTTGGAAATTAGCCTGGTTCTCAAATATTCATTGGGTTTTTGTTTTTTTTCCTTCTGTGTGAGCTAAGTACCCAGTTTCCTTGGGCTCTTTATTTGTGCTGTGATAAATTCTGTATCTCGGTATTTTCTGTTTGTACTGGTTGAAAAAGGTATATTTTCATCTGACATATGAGAATATTTTTTTTTGTTTTTTTACTCCACAAGTCCATTTAACTATTAGTTCGTATCATAAAACTTCAACATTCAAAATACAGTAGCCCCATCTGCCCATTTGTATTGTTCTTGCAGTTGTTTCTGTAGACTGACCTACAGCAGAAGAGGGTCTTCTGAACATGTGTTTGGTTTGTGTTCTTCTGTGATGTCCTAACACTGTCTCTGGGGATCTTGTCTAGTTCATGGAGAGGCTTTTGTGTTAGTGCTGCAAGGTGTCAGTTGCAAAATTTATAGACCCCTTTTCTCTCTGAAATTGTAGTCCAGAATTACTAATGGTTTCACAATTGGAAGTGCAGTTTATTACTTGTTTTAAATAGAAACTTGTTTCCATATGCTAGACATTGAACATACATATTCTGTCAGTGTTAGAAAATGCTTTAAGCAGCAAATACATTTTTTTGTTCATACACATCTTCACCTGAATCTGCTGGGTTTAATGATTGAAACAGTTTGCACTAATAAGTTGCAGAATTTTATTTTTTTTTTTTTTCATTCTCCCCCCACTGCCCAGAAATTGAACTAAGTAAACTGATGACTGAAATACAAAGTAAGTTCAAATGTCTTGGACTTCTGGAACCCTATAGCTGGAAAAAGGGAGAAGCTTGTGTTGTAAGAGGATCAGATACCATGTGGTATCGAGGTAAAATTGTAGAACTCTGTGGCAGTACACTCCAGGTAAGTTCAGGTATATGGCGGAAGGGAGGGATTGTGTGTGCATGAACATGGTGAACATGTGCACATGGGTCTTAAGAAAAAAGGGCAAATAAGACTAAAATAAATTCATTATCACACCTTCTTTCATTCAGCTGACTTGCTTGTCCAGATGCTCATTCTGCTCATCAAGTGTGATGAGTGTCATGGTTTTTGCATTTAGTTTAAAGATGAATTCTGTCTACTTATTTCAGTTGTACAATGTAGTTTTCGTGGTGATGATAAATGTCCTTAAGTTAAAAACTACCCTTGATCACCTGGAAGTAATCCCTTTTAGTTTTTTTCTTTTGTTGTTAGCGTATGTGGAAGACTTTGAAAACACTTACGTTTAGCTTCTCCCCACCCAAAAAATAGTGGCTGTCTGGTTTTAATTCTTTTTTGCTGCACAAATATAGAGGTACTTTTTCTAATTCGGAGTTAAATTTACCTAAACTCTTGAGTCTGCTCATGCTTTTTGAATACAGGTTCAGACATCTGATACTATCCTAGCTTACACATATTTTAGTTCTTTCAGTTTTAAACTGTTGCAGGTATTACACAAAAGTTAAGGTTTCTTGCCAGACAAGTTTAGAGCCTGAATTTACTTGCCATACCAGTTTTTTAATCCTTCATTTCTATTTTGTCACGTCACCTGCTTACCAGCAAACCATTACTTATTCCTCTAGAGAAGTGAATGCTGTAAATAACTGCTTTCTCCTATAAAACTTGACTTAAAAAACAGGAATTATTTCAGGAAAGTTTTTCTTTTCATACAGGTACAGTACATAGATCATGGTTGTATAGAGAGGATTCCTCAGTGCCATCTGTATCCAACTACATTGTATACTGATATTCCTCCATTTTGCATACCATGTCAGCTCTACAAGACAATACCAGTGAGTAAGGGTAAACTCAGAGGGTTTAGTAGGTAGTTACTTAAATCAATACACTGTTTAGTCATATAAAGGTTGAGACGAGTTGCTAGTATTTTTTCTTGCCAATGAGGATTCATAGAATAGCTGGTGAGGATCATGTCAGCCAGGGAGCCAGTTATCAAAAGCTTCTAGATTGCTTTATGAAGTGACCGTTCCAGCTGTCACTGGAATGAAGTCTCTGTGGGACAGGACACTGCAGTAGTTGGCAGGATGATACTCTGAAGTGGCATTTCATTTTACAATAGCAGCAACAAGTAAGGCCTGGATTTAATGCAAAATGGCCAGAAAATTGTGAATCTAGAAGTCCTGCAAAAGTGTTTCTGTCATTCAGAACTTGATGTGTAGGAAACTTTTAGTCTAAATAACATATGTGAATTATTTTAGGGGGGTTTGTTAGTAATTGGTATGTAAATAACATCTTCACATATCATCACATCTTGCTCAAACTTGAATGGTGCATTTAGTAAATGCTGTAGGTGACCCTGCTTGAGCAGGGAGGCTGGACTGGGTGACCCCTGGTGGTCCCTTCTCCACCCTCAACCAATTTGCAATTCTGTGAAATGACTAGCTTCCTTTTAAACTTATTTTAAAGAACCTTTTTATTGCCGGAAACAGTTCAGCTGATAAATTAAGAAAGGTGGGCTTGTAAGCCTACAGGTTGGGGGACAGACAGATATTGCAGGGCATAAAAGAAGTATTTAAAGTTTCCTGTGTTTTCTGTTTGTTAAGTTTTATCTTCAGGGGTAATTCTGTATCTTTGTGTTATGCTTTAGGTAATAATGCACACGTACGTTATTATGATACAGTAAAGTTTACACTTGGCAAGCAGCATCTCATTGTAAGCCACTTCAAGACCTGAAAATTGCTGGTCAGCTTTGTCACACAGTTAGTTTTAGTGTACCAGGTAGTACATAATGTTTATACTGTTGTAGACAAAACTAATGATGTGTGTTTTCAAAGAAGTTTTTCAATGATGGTCATGTATTTTCTTCTTCCTGTGTTAAAAATTGTAAGAGTATTACTTGACAGCATCTTAATGTGTGGGGGCTTCTTGATTTTCACCAAATAGATTGGAAATTTTTGGCAGCAAGATGCAGTAGATTACCTTCAAGGACTACTTACAAATGAAGAAGTTGAAATACACATTCAGGTAGCTTAATTTATTCATAGATGGTAGATGTAGAACAAGGCTTTTTGTTCTCTCTGTTTTTGGTTGGGTTTTTTTTCTTTAACTTACATTAGGAGTAATAGGTAAAGTAATATAGCAGTAAATATATTTCTTAGACAAAACAAAACCCCAAAACTAAAGCTGTTTCTCCAGTTGTTCTAGTATTTCAGGCCTTAAATTTGTGTCCTTTAGAAGTATTAATATCTTTTGGTCCTTGTTTGTATTATGTGTTGTCATTCTTACAAGCAACCTACCAGCCAATAACATAAGTTCTTCTAAATTTGATTTTAAGTTATTAACATTTGACATAATTAAACATGGACATGCTTAAATAAATACATTAACAGTACAAAGAAACACATAATCTGTATTGTCTGAAACCCCATGATTTCGTATAGCTTAATTTCTAATGATAAGCTGTAAAAGGTTTTACTGCTGAGCGAGCAAATGTTGGATAATGTTTCCCTGTTGGGAGTGAGTTGTCAGTGCTGCCATTCCAGTAATAGATATATTCCCATTTGTGTCATGTTAATAGCCATCCTTACTGATTTTGTATCTTCGATAAACGGGTACAGTGCATGTAGGAAGGACAAGTTTGAATTTCCTGGTCACTGTTTCTAAAACCTCAGTCATGCTATTCCTGTTATAATCTTTATTTTATCTTGTGTAACTAGGAATTACCAGATAACCCATGGGGCAAATTGTCCATCAGCCTGTATTTTGGAGGAATGTCCCTTTCTTCCTTCATGGCATACCAGAAGTTCTGTGTTACTGAAGATTGTCGGGACATGAAAGAGCTGGTGAGATTCATCTGTGTGGTTTTATGTTTAGTGTGTCTTTTGGTGTTGCTATTCTGACATTAAAAAGATTATTCAGTTGTTTCTGGTGACCTTTGATTTGTTGTTTCTTTTCATAATTGTGTAGAGATTTATGATGTAAACAGTAGTAAGGCTGAGTACACAGCTCTGTAGCATAAGTGTACAGATGATGTGTTGACAAGGTTGTATGGAATAGCATGGAGTGTGTTCTTGGATTCCCTACTGAAAAGAGATTTTTGCATTTTTGTTTAAATTCCCATTACATCTTGTGTTAGGAATAGGATAATATTTTTATCACTTGAAGGGATTTGTTAATCATAGAAACATATCCAAGGATGGAGATAATCAAAAATGATAAAGGATAAAAATTGAGTCAAGTATTCCAGCGTAAACTTAATAATACCTAAGGGAGTTACCCAAGTTTTTCATTCCAAGTGTTTGGGACATCCATTTGGTGTTCTTTAGAGGAGGATTGAAATTTTCATCAAACTTCAATGCCTTAACACACGTACAAAAAAAAAAAAAGTAGTTTCTGTGTATTTTTTTTTCCCCTTGAAATCTGAGGATCAGGTTTATTTAAATTACTAAGGGCTTGTTTTTTTTTTTTCTCTTAATTCTGTTTAAGCCTGCCAGTGTGTTTTTCTTTCCAACATGAGTTTCTGCTTCAGAAAATTATTTTACAGTATGGAGTATGCTGCTGTCAGTGCTGATGTAAGTCTTGGCATGTACCCAGTGGGCTTGAGATGCAGTTAGAAAAAATCTGTCTGTGTATCAGAACTTAAGAACTGCGGAAAACCTAATTGTAAATGTCTCTTGCTGCATTTTCATAAAGTCACCACATGGTGCAGAACTTTCACCATACTAAATGTGGATCTTAAACTGAGGTTGTAACCCTTAAAATAAAAATGAAATTTGGAAAAAAACAGACAATGCTGCAAAGACTTCAGGCAAAGCTATTTTTGATGTTACTGACTTGTCATCTGAATGCTTTTAGCATCACCAGGAGCTGTTCGGCAGCTGTTTTAGAGATCATTGTCTTTTCAGGCAGGGAGGCAAATCTTCAGGCAGAAACAGCAGTGTACAAAGGGCTAATTCCACCTCTTGATTCTGCGTGGATTTTCATGGTAGATCAGAAAAGATGCTGCATCTTGTGTTGCCCTACTGCATGCATCATTACAAATTCTAGCACAGAGATTGCTGCGTGGTTTGGCACTTCAGCTTGGAGGAAGGCTTACTCCTCCTGTTCCCATTCCTCACTGTTAAACAGGCAGCTAATTTCCTCTAAAATGAAGGATCTGTATAACTGAAAGACCTACCAGATACCCTAAACTGATATTTCTCTGTTAGGAATTCATCAGGATTTATCTGGATAAAGGACAGAGTTGTCAGATGACTGTAGGCATGCACTGAAGGCCAGCCATGTGGGTCATAAGTCCCGCCATCCCTGACACCAAGAAGACCTGTTCTGTCGCTGATGTTTGCAACAAGACTAGTGGAAAAGCAGTCTATAAACAGATAGCCGTTTCTGCTTTCTTTTTGTCAATATGAGAGTAAAGTCTAAGGTACCTTGCCTGTTTCAGGGGAATCAGAATCTGAGACTTGCCAGGCTATCAGTTTGGTCTTCATCATCCTGAAGATGTCTTTAATGCCTCACACTACAGGGTGGTCTCATGTAGCTGTTCATAAACAAAGCTTTGCATGTGGTAGAGAAGGAAGTACAACATAACACACTGCACTGCAACTAACCATTTACCTAGTTTGGATTAAGATCTTCCTGCTGAGAAGCACTCTTGTGTGGCCTTATTAAGTATATGGCATTATGTGATGTGTGAGTTGTATATTAAGAATACATCATTTCTGCTGTGGCTTTACAAATGTTATAAGGAATGTTAGCCATTTTTAGGTTTTTAAAAAACAGACGCAAAGGCAGAAAGGATGAGTGATAACTGCTTGAAATAGGTAACTCCTAGAGATGACTTGGTAGACCGTCTTTTTAATATCAGTGTTTACAGCTGGAATGTCTGTGCCTAAGTGTGGTAGATCTAGCAGTAGCCAATCTGACAATAAGGAAAGTCTGTAACAACAAAAACGCAAATGCAGTCTTCATTTCAAAGACACGCACAAGAGCTAGCTAAGATACCCAGCTCAGCTATGCATAGTGGTCGGTTGGGAGTGAGCTGAAATGTAAGTCCAGTAAGTTTAAACCCAGTTGTAGTGAGGTGGCCTGCCACAGTGTTTCTGATTGTTCTGCAGGAATCTGGCATTTAGTGCGTATGTATCTATGATGTAGTTAGGCATCATTTCTTTGCTACTATTTATCAAGAAATTATTTCTTCTTAATCTCACAAGTACATATTTTCAGTAGAAACACTGTGTTTTCCTTCTTAAGTCTGAGGAACTTAATTTTTTTTGTATTCTGTATCAGATCATGCAGGGGGAAGAAGGGGTCAGAATTTACTGTTTCATTTTGCAGTTACATATATCTGGTTGCTTCCACTTCTCTTGTTCTGGGCATAGGAAAAATTGTTCACCAAGTACGTATATACATGTAATACCAAGAATTTTAGAGAAATGGTAGCGTTTGTAACCTGCACTATTGAAGTACAAGCCAGAATAGGAGCTGTATTCCTGACCCACGATCCAGCCAACCTACATGCTATGCATCCTTACAAAGGCATAATTTAATGCACTAACATTTATTTTGTCTTGAAGCAGATGAGTTAATGGCATACAAAATTCGAACTATAAAAATACATGCTTCAAGAGGAAGACCCACTGGAGCATGCTGTGGTACTGAAACAATGTGTACTTTACAAAATCTGTTACCTTTTTGAAAGAGTGGTAATTTTGGTGGCTAGGGAGTTAATTATCCTTTGCCTTTCTCTTAAGGGATAACTTGCTCTGACAAACTGCAGTAAACATTGGGCATGGCATTCAGATTAATCGGTGCCACTTAGCTGTGATCATTTTAGTTTTTCTCTCCCAATAATTTTCTCTTTAAAGAGAATTCCATATTTAATGCATGTTTGAATTAACAGCAGTCAGAGTAGCAAGTCAGTACACTAGAGTAATTTCAAAGATACATCCTTTCTGTATGCTCGAATTTGAGATCCTCAGGACAGTGAGAAGAGCATGCAGCAAGCTCACTGCCCTGGACTTCAACAGAGCAGACTTTGGCCTCTTCAGGAACCTGCTTCAGAAGGTTCCATGGGATACAGCCCTAGAGGGCAGGGGGGCCCAAGACTGTTGGTTGATATTCAAGGATCACCTGCTACAAGCTCAGGAGTGTTGCATCCCAACTAGAAGGAAGTGCAGCAGGAGGGCCAGGAGACCTCCTTGGATGGATAAGGAGCTGCTGAGGAAAATTCAGTTGAAAAAAGAGGCTTATAAAAAGTGGAAGCAAGGACAGGTGGCTTGGGAAGAGTACAGGGATGTTGTCTGGGAAGCTGGGGACCAGGTTAGGAAAGCTAAGGCCCACTTAGAATTAAACTTAGCTAGAGGTTATTAAAGATAACAGGGAGGGATTCTACAGGTACATAGCAAATAAAAAACAGACTAGGGAGAACGTAGGCCCCCTCAGGAAGCTCTCGGGAGAACTGGCTACACAGGATTTGGAGAAGGCTGAGGTTCTGAATGACTTCTTTGCTTCGGTCTTCACTGACAAATGCTCTGACCAAACCCCCCAAGTCTTGGAAGCAGATGCAGGGACTGTGAGAATGAAGACCTTGCACCCACTGTAGGAGAGGAACTGGTTTGAGGCCATCTCCAAAATCTGAACGTGCACAAGTCCATGGGTCCTGATGAAATCCATCCGCGGGTCCTGAAGGAGCTGGCAAATGAAGTTGCTAAGCCGCTGGCCATTATATTTGAGAAATCATGGCAGTCAGGTGAAGGTCCCGACAACTGGAAATAGGGAAATATAACCCCCATTTTCAAGAAGGGGAAATGGATGACCCAGGGAATTACAGACCAGTCAGTCTCACCTCTGTGCCTGGCAAAATCTTGGAGCAGATTCTCCTGGAAGGCATGCTACGGCACATGAAAATCAACAAGGTGCTTGGTGACAGCCAGCATGGCTTCACTAAGGGGAAATCCTGCCTGACCAATTTGGTGGCCTTCTATGCTGGGGCTACAGAACTGATGGACAGGGGTAGAGCAGTTGATGTCATCTACCTGGACTTGTGCAAAGCATTCGACACTGTCCCACACGACATCCTTGTCTCTAAATCGGAGGGACATCAATTTGATGGATGGACCACATGGTGGATAAAGAACTGGATGGATGGCCGCACACGAAGAGTTGTCGTCAGTGGCTCAGTGCCCAGCTGGAGACCAGTAACGAGTGGTGTCCCTCAGGGATTGGTGTTGGGACCGATCTTGTTTAACATCTTTGTCGCTGACATGGACAGTGGGATTGAGTGCGCCCTCAGCAAGTTTGCTGATGACACCAAGCTGTGTGGTTTGGTTGATACGCTGGAGGGAAGGAATGCCGTCCAGAGGGACCTTGACACGCTTGTGAGGTGGGCTGATGCCACCCTCATGATGTTTAACCATGCCAAGTGCAAGGTCCTACACCTGGGTCGGAGCAATCCCAGGCACAGCTACAGGTTGGGCAGAGAAGAGATTCAGAGCAGCCCTGCGGAGAAGGACTTGGGGGTGTTGGTTGATGAGAAAATGAACATGAGCTGGCTTCAGTATGCGCTCGTAGCCCAGAAAGCCAACCATATCCTGGGCTGCATCAAAAGGAGCATGACCAGCAGGTCAAAGGAGGTGATCCTGCCCCTCTACTCTGCTCTTGTGAGATCTCACCTGGAGCACTGTGTGCTGTTCTGGTGTCCTCAACATAAAAAAGTACATGGAACTGTTGGAACAAGTCCAGAGAAGAGCCACAAGGATGATCAGGGGACTGGAGCACCTCCCATATGAAGACAGGCTGAGGAAGTTTAGGCTGTTTAGCCTGGAGAAGAGAAGGCTGCATGGAGACCTCATAGCAGCCTTCCAGTATCTGAAGGGGGCCTATAGGGATGCTGGGGAGGGACTCTTCATTAGGGACTGTAGTGACAGGACAAGGGGTAACAGGTTAAAACTTAAACAGAGGAAGTTTAGGTTGGATATAAGAAGGAAATTCTTTACTGTAAGGGTGGTGAGGCACTGGAATGGGTTGCTCAGGGAGGTTGTGAATGCTCCATCCCTGGCAGTGTTCAAGGCCAGGTTGGACGAGGCCTTGGGTGATATGATTTAGCGTAAGGTGTCCCTGCCCATGGCAGGGGGCTTGGAGCTAGATGATCTTAAGGTCCGTTCCAACCCTTCTTTTTGCTGAGGCTTTTTTAAAAACAAAATCAGTATTTAAAGGAAATGTTGATTAATATTTCTTGTGTCAAGGGCACACTGTTTACATTATTAGGTAACTCCTTTGAACTAATAAGCATACCAAAGCTAGTTTCCATTTTGTTATTAAATATAATGCTTGAATAAAGTGTTATCTTGGTCTAGGAGCTACTTGAAGATGTTGCTGTTACACCTTCATACAAGTTACCATCGCTGCCTCTTCCAGGAGATACCTTCCCTGTCAGAGTTACCCACTTGGTGAACCCTAAGGAGGTACTTTTTGTAAGATCTTGCATATTTTGCAGTTACATCATGCAGATAAAAGGAAATCATGGCAAACAATTTTAAGTGATACCAGAAAGTGTTAGTAAGGTTGCAAAATGCTACTGAGTTACTGATGCAGATGGCTGTGCAGAGCAACTCTCTGAATAAATTCTTACCTGAAATACCCTTTTGAGCAGGGGCAGTAAAATAAATACTGGCCATTTCCCTAAAAATGGATATTTAGAATTATGCATAATGCAGGTTGGTACTTAACTAGTATATAGTAAGCAGACAGGTTATTGGATTTTGACTTGGTGGAACAATAACAATGTATCTCTTTTTCTCCAAAAACTAAATTACTGGAACATATAGTAATGTGAACATTTTCTGGCTGTTACAGTTGTATTTTACTGTCTTTGATCAATGATTGATCATTGATTTTTGTGTAAACCCACAAACAGCTTCCTTCTAAGTAGTTTCCCAGGCAAAAGGCAGTGTGTAGTGTTCATCAATCATAAAAGATTCCTGTGTGGACTTTAAATGCTGAATGATGAAATAGGAGAAAAGGAAGTGGTGAGAAGCTGATGGTGTTACAAAATCTAACATACTCTTAATGGTTTCTTGTGTGGGGGATGTGTGTGTGTGTATGTTCGTTGTTTTGGTAAATCTGTAAACCAAATAACAGGTTTTATAGTACCAAAGGACTATAAAACTACAACTACCTGAAAAGACATTGTACCAAGATGGATGTCAGTCTCTTCTCCCAAGTTACAAGCAATAGGACAATAAGGAAAGGCCTTAAGTTGTGCTGAGGAGGTTTAGATTGGATATTAGGGAGAATTTCTTCACCAAAAGGCTTGTCAAGCATTGGAATAGGCTGCCTAGGGAAGTGGTGGAGTCACCATCCTTGGAGGTATTTAAAAGACTTGTAGATGTGTGCTTAAGGGACATGGTTTAGCAGTGGACTTGAGAGTGCTGGGTTAACAGTTGGACTCCATGATCTTAAATGTCTTTTCCAACCTAAATGATTCTGTGATTCTGTAATGTACAACTATTTTGACTAAATACAAGATGGAAGTATTTGGGTATCATAGAAAAGGGCTTTTTCTAAGTTATGTATCCTGCTTCCTCTTCTACAGGAGAACATTATAATGAATATTTTTTCTGGTTCCTTTTGTGCAAATGATTCAAACTCTTACTTTTGATCATGGTATATAATTGTGAACACTGGATGCTGCTTTGGACTCCTGTAGATTTAAGTAGCAGTTTCATGATGGAGTTTATATTGTTTTGTTTATATTGTGTAGAAATTAGAAAATGACAGTTTTCTTCCTGGCCAGTGAATTATAATGCTGAGTTTAGAAAAAATAATAACCTACTCTTTAATTTGTTTGGTCTACCAGTAGAATATTGTCATGTTCTGAAATGGCTCTGTTTTAAAAAGGGCATTTCAGTTAGAAGCTGTTGTATAGATTTTAATTTGCCTGTGCATGTTGTTTGAACTTTCCTAACCTACAGCATTATAGTGATGACCCAGTTATAAATTAGATGAACAGAATGAATGTCTTTGCATATAAAACAAAATGTCTTTTCAAAATTTCTTTTTTCATTAACTTTAATCTTTGTTTTGATAATACATAGTGAGACTATTTACCAAGTAGCAGGAGGGAGGAATCCTAATGAGATTAGGAAATCTCGTATGTGAAAATCCTATATGTGAAGTCTTATGTGGGCATGTTCTCTAGTATGTGTGTGCCTTTCATTCTAACTTCCTAACATTGAAATGTGACATTAATAATTAATGACTCTCTTCTGCTCTTGGAAAAAATATCTGTAAGTATGAAATTACTCATAAATTGAGGGAAGAAGAAAGAGGATCAGAGATGTGCTGATCCTCATAAAGATGGGAACCAGTAATCTTCTAATAATCCTTGACTACAGATGGAATTTGAAGGTTTTGAGTCGTCTGAAGAACCTGTAATATGAGAGCCTTTTCTTTGGGTAGGTATATATTTGCTTTGATACTTTGAAGAACCTTATGAAGCAGCCTGCCTCTGGGGGAGATGCCAGCTGTGACTCAGGGTTGGAGAGCCTTGATGAAGCCCTGAAGTGGTGCAATAAAAGTGTGAACTCTTTTCCTCTTTTAACAAACTTCCTAACAGGTATGTTAGTGTATGTATTTTCACTGTTGTTTCATTTGGGTGTGCAAAAAGCCTGAAATTCTTTTGTAAGAATAATAATAACTCTGTATTTCTATGAATCTTTAAAACTTCTGGAGAGTAAGGAGTAACACTACATTATAGTAATAAGATAGACTATACTCATGGGTTTGTTGTTTTGGGTTTTTTTACTTTTCATGAAATTGAGACTTCTGTGTCATTCTGCTCCACTGGAAAATTGTGGAAAGAGCTCACACTTCTGATAGTGTTAAAGTGGATTAACTGAGTTCAGATTGCATACAGCAGTAATAAAACTTTTCCCTTAAGGTGGCTGTAATTGAAGCTGTAACTGAAAATCTTGCTATTAAATATTCAAAAGACACAAGTTATGTACAGAAAATCATGTTACCAAGAGCTAGAAATTAGATAACCCTAAAGAGCATCTCTTCACTTTAATTCTTTTCCATTTAGGGAAAAGATAGGCTTACATTCTCTTGTCCACAGTTGTTGTGCCTGAAATAATGTGAAGTATGTGAGTCTAAAACTCTGTGAAGAAACCACTTACTGCTAGTACCTGGTGTTCTACCAACTAATAAAATTCCAGTTGAAGCTTCAGGCAGCATCTGCCTTGTTTCTTCCAAACTGTTGTCTCTTGTCTTACAGATCAATCTGCTTACTAACTGAAAAATACAAATGGGTTGAAGTTGAAAAGTATAAATGTTAAACAGTTTGGATCACTGTGTTTACTAAGCAGTTTCCTGTTAATTCTCATAATTTCCCTGTGAGGTAGAGACACTTGACTTAAACTCCATCCTAATGATTGTGGAGTCCAGGGAGAATTGGAGGATACCTAGAACAAAATACTAGCAGGAATTAGAGAAGCAAAAACTTAATCTTGGTCACAAAGTAAAATGGAGTTTCAAGCTCAGTCAGATTGTTTTGCACTGTGAGTATATTTTACAGTGTTTTGTGATTGGTTTATTGTTGTTGGTTTTATTTTCTTTTTACAGAAATGCCTTGCCTTGTAGAATACCAGGATGGTTTATGGTATAGAGGAAAGGTCCTCTCTGTTATGAAATCTGACCCTGTTAAGATCCTGGTTCAGTTTGTTGACTACGGTAGTTTTTCAGTTGTCCCAAGCAGCAGGTAAATGCATAAGGAAAAATTGCATGTAAAAACTATGTATGTGTGTGTGTATACACTTAAAAAATATGGTTTATGTTTATTACTTTGTATTTTTATACAACTATAGATATAATAATTCAGCATTAAATTTCAGTTGCAGAGAAGGTTGGCTGTTCAAATAATTTATGTCTGCAGGGAATGGGGTTGTGCACTTTCTGTTCTTTCTCAGGTTGTTCTGAGAAGCCTGTTATAATACCAGATTTATCCATCATTTGCAGGTTACATAACCTGTAAGGTAGGCTCACATATATTATCTGGTTTTGCACCCCAGAAGCTTACACAAAATAGGGACTGAGCCTTCCAGGTGTACAAACAAATCCTCTGATCCTGTGCAACTGCAGTCTGCTCAGAAGACAGCTGGACAGTAAGATAAGGGAGTGTGTGAGTAGGGCACAACTGACTCTGCTTGTGTAGAAAATGAAAGTTCAAATCCCTGTTCTGCCTGATGCTGGCACACAGATGTCAGCTAAGTGTCTCAAACATCCCGGGCTTTGGGGGTCCTCTAAGCTTGTCTGAACTTTCTATCTGGAAACACTTTCACATTTTATATATACTGCTTAATCACCTTGACTTGCTCTTGAGCTCATTGAGGAACCTACAGGTCCTTGCTGAAGATGAGGCAAAATGGAGATTTGAACAGATTCCCTGCTTCACAGACTATAGGGTCATGCGAAAGAGTGTTTTATTTCAGGGTTGCACTTTCCTGCTCAGCTTCCCCATTCCCTTGTGTCTGAGATAGACAGAAGAATGCAAAGATGATAATATAGGACTAAGGTACCTGTTTCCAGCAGTGTGTCTAAAGCATATCTGGGCATGAAGCACTTCAAACCACAGAGAAGGTGTCATTTTCCAGATGCACCAGATTTGGAGCCTGCACTGTGGTGACTTGCTCTTGCATTCCTGTGCTCAGATCTGTGTCAGGCACTTGAGACTCCGCCACAAGCATTGTAACGGGGAGCCAGGGCGCCTGGTGGACTGTGGGTGTGGGGTCTGATACTGACCTGCTTCTTGATAGTTGCTATGCTGAGCATCTTCAAACGGCCTAGACCTACCTGGTGAATTGTTCATTCTGACACTGGCATGTTAATGTAGTGCAGGGACTCTGATCCCAGATTCCACATCATAAACCTACTGCATGAGCCATTAAGCTACCCCTTTGTCTGTTCTGGCAGTTTAGCTTCACAGGTGGATTGTTGCAAGCAAACACATTCCATTTTTGTTTTAGATTGCGTCACATACCTTTTCACCTGCTGAAGTATCCTGTTCAGGCAGTGCGAGCGCTGTTAGCTGGATTTAAGCCTGCCTTATATGACAGACATGTGGAAAGAATTCCTTATTCCCCAGAATGGAGCGTGGACGCTTTGTGGGCTATGATAGGATGCATCGAAGGAAAACAGCTCTCTGCTTCCATAGTTGTGAGAACACTTTCTTTTTTTCCCTCCTAATGCTTGCTTACCCTAAAATTCTCACTAGCACTCTTAATTTCTGAATACTTGTTTTACTGTGAAACCTCATAATTTGGAATTGTGAACCATTTACCATGAAGGAATGCTGTCGAAGAGACAAAATCCTGTGGTGCTCTTAATCCTGCAGTCAAGAGGTTTCTGAGTATTCCTGTTGGCTTGAAACCAGTTTCCTTTACTTAAAACCAGAAATATTCTTTGTATTGTCACAGTTCCATTTAGGCAGGGAGTATAGCCAATACAGTACAAACAGTACAGTAACTTGTACTGTTGATTGGATGGAGATTTAGATATGTTAACTGTCAGTACCTTGTGAACTTCTGGTTTTCAGGCTCTTTCACCAGAGGTCACCATTTCTCTGTATGAAGCTGACAAAAGTCCAGTTCATATGAAACTGATAGAAATGGGACTTGCAGATTTGGACGAGTGACGTGTAAGTACAGTGAATATGAACTACATACTGATACCATTTCAAAAGTGTGAGTTCAGACATCTGAACTGTCAGTAATGTTGACAACTAGAATTTGTTTTAAAAAACCCTGTCTACACTTCCACTCTTTTTAACAAAATAAAAAGCTGTTTAAAAAAATACAATTTCTTTATATACCCCTTACTGAAGCCCATAGTGTAGCTTTAAGAACTAACAGGTACTGAAACAAAAAGCCCTAAGGCAATAAAACAGAGCTTTTGCTGCCAGTAACTAACTGAGCAAGGTAAGTTGATGTGTGGCAGTGTACTCTGCCCTAACAATCAAAATTAATTGTTTCTCTTCATTTTCAGCATTTGACCTCAGTGTCCAGTGCCAGTGGCTCTCAAATTGATCCAGGGTACCACCACATGGATGTCCATACATCTAGGCAAACGTGGAGTATTTTTAATGAACAGCCTTACAGTATGTGTTGTCTACAGCGAATACTGGAGACTTAGATTTTCAAATTCCTTGGCCAACTCTGTTAAATAGCATTTTTCCCTCCTATTCAATAAGCATTCTTCTAATTGATGCAGATAATGTTTCCAACAGTTCTGAATCTTGAAATAGTGAAGCTGTTCACAATTACTTCTTTCAACCTTAGAGCCTTAAGTATTGTTCAGCAGTACCCTTTTTCTTAAGAGTAGATGCCATTGGTGTATGGTTGAAAAGAAATAGATTAAAAGTTTTGCTGGGCACAGTTATTCTACTGTCTTGTTAGACTTCGAGGGAAGATGATAGTTCTATTACTGTTACTCTTGTTTATGTTTCAGGCATATTTGGTGACAGACTTCTCCAGTATGACCTCGAGATAGTCAACAGTTTAGGGTGGGGGAGTGTTACAGTCTTTGTTCTGGAACATGTTTGCATTGGGGCTTTGTTTTCTGTCATGATGAGAACAGCGTTTCGGGTATCCTTGCACCTCCTTCCTATGCCTGAAACTGCAGCGTGCATTTGAAAGTGTTGGAATAAACAGGAGCTTGCTCAGCATACATCTGAAAGCTTGTTTTCCTTTACTGCTGTAGTATCCAAAGAAACCTCACATCTCTATTATATTAGTGTAATAATATCCTTGACATTTAAAGCTTAGCACCTGTCAGTCTCCCCATGGAGAATTCTATCTGGACCATCAAAAAAAACCATGCACAGTGAAGACTCCACAACCTCTCAGGGCAAGCAGTTTGAATGCTCAGTCTCCTACACAGTAAAAATGTGTTTCTTGATGTTCAGAGGGAACCTCCTGTGTTTCAGTTTGAGCCCATACACACATAAACTTACTCATAATTAGGCTGAGAAAGTTGGGGCTGTTTAGCCTGGGGAAGAGAAGGCTGCATGGAGACCTCATAGCAGCCTTCCAGTACCTGAAGGGGGGCTATAGGGATGCTGGGGATGGACTCTTCATTAGGGACTGTAGTGATAGGACAAGGGGTAGTGGGTTAAAACTTAAACAAGGGAAGTTTAGATATAAGGAAGAAATTCTTTCCTGTTAGGGTGGTGAGGCACTGGAATGGGTTGCCCAGGGAAGCTGTGAATGCTCCATCCCTGGCAGTGTTCAAGGCCAGGTGGGACAGAGCCTTGAGTGACATGGTTTAGTGTGAGGTGTCCCTGCCCACGGCAGGGGGGTTGGAACTAGATGCTCTTAAGGTCCTTTCCAACCCTAACTATTCTATGATTCTATATGTCACACAGGTCTGTACCCATTGCTTCTTGTACTATATCTTGGCCCCATCCTCTTGACACCCTCTCTTGAGATATTTCTACACATAGATCAAATGCCTCTTTCACAGCTCTAGTACATACTCTAGTATGAAGCAGTACCCTGTAGAGCTGTCATGCTCGTCTTCAACATGTGGGTTTTATTTGCATTTATGAAAAACCCACCTTTTTTTAAATCAACCATGAGGAATACTGCCATTTATTTACTCTTTTGAGTCAAGCAGTAAGTAAACTGATACCCACACTCTTAAATTTGGCCACCTGCCATATTTTTCCATGGCAAGGGTTCCAACACTGTTGACGCAGGGGTCACGGACAATACAGAGACGATCAATGTGATCAAGCGATTGCCGAATTTATTACAAAGCCTTCACTCCTTATATACTATTTCTTACATGCACTTACAGTGATTTGACATATTATGATTGGATACATGTCTCGAAGACCCTTAGTGACTAACATACAGTTTGTTAAGCACTGGTGTGAGAACTTGACCTCAAAAGCTTGCCAACAGTCCACAGTTCTCATTAACTCAGTGAATTCCAGCTTCTTCTTATCTTGCTTGTTTAGGCTTCCTCGGGCCTCTCATGGCCTTGCTGTATCTTTCAGGATTATTCAGAGTTTATGTACCAATTATCCATTCTCCTGTGAGAACACTGCCTCCAATTTCCCCTTTTTTGTTTTACATATGTTTTGGATGACTCTACCATGTATTATAGTGGGGGGGGGGGGGTCATTAAAGTCTCCTGTCAATCACACAAAATTCATAACATATACAGCTTTCTGTATCCTTGCTACTGGTGTACCTTCTTCCCCCGTTTTTTGTTTTTCCAACAACTGTTTCAAAGTTTGATGTGTTCGTTCAATAATAGCTTGTCCTGTAAGAGAATAGGGTCAATAGTAACATGGACATATTTCAATTTCCCAAAAGAGGGTACATGAGTCACATCCATTTGCCAAAGCTGAAGAGGCTGGAGGCCTCGAGGGTTGACTCCAAGGCCTATACCTAGTGCTTGGCCTTGACAATCAGGACAAGATTGCACAATGCCTCGGGCATCTGTTAGGGACAGTCCAAACTGTTGAGCTAACAATTTTGTTGATTGATGGAAGAAGGGCAAAGGGTGATGAGGATTACACTCTGAATTCTCATCTGCAGCTCTTGCAGCAAGCTCCTCAAACCCACTTTTAAAATGTAGGAACTGTGAAGGAGTTAATAAAATTACAGCCACTCTGAGACAATCATTTGGAGTTAGAACAGAACTAGAAAAGCAAGCAGATAACATCTGCTGTGTATATGGGGAAGACAACCCATACTGAGTAATTGCTCCCTTAAATTCTTTCATAGCTTTCCAGTCCATAGGAGTCCAGACAGACTGTCCCTGAGTATTTATAATAACAGGAAATGCAGCGGGAACATCTATTGGTAAAATAGTACTGTCTATGACTGCATCCTGAATGCAGCCTCGCCATCTCATGGCACTCGGATTAGCTTTATTAGATGTAGGAGTCGGTGGTAAAGACACATCACAAGGACTGATCTTATCCGGTTTTTCTGGGGCTTGCTCCCTCTCCTCCCCCAGTTTGCCCAGACGGTCTTGCAAGTTCTGCAATTGTTTATCTAAGGATTTTGTCCATTGTCCCCAGTCCCACTCATTTTGCGGCTCCCGCGGGAGCGATACAAGCAGTGGTGTAGGTGTTGGAGGTGGGTATTTATTCGGAGATATGCTCTCCTCCTTAGAAGACTCCCACCCCAGCAAAAATCTTGGAGATTAAGTTTATGGGCAGTAGCAGCACGAAAAGGGTTGCTCAGTAGCCACTGCTGGCTCGCGAGTATCAGCTGGAGCTACCGCCTATAAAGGCGTTGTCGACACAGGATAGGGAAAAGGCGCAGGGTCCTCAAACTTTCGTACCTTACTGCACACCGGTTTTTGGCCAGAATGTTTTATGCCCAAAACAGATGACACTACCATGGCTGTAGCACCGGGTGCTGAATCTGATATGGGTGCTGAGCCCTGCTGTTGCGAAGGTGAGTCAGAGAGAGCTATAAAAGCGGATTTTGCCACCTGTTTCTCAGCCTTCATTGCAGCTAGAGTCCCTTTCAGTAGTAACCAGGGGGCAGCAAGAGACTTCGCCTCCTTAGGCGAAGTAACTTGATCCCACAGGTGTGCCCCAATATTTTCCCCAAGTCCAGAGATCAAAAGCTTCATTAACACCCTTGATCAGCTCTTTTTCTTTACTCCAGAGCAATAGTCTTTTTAACAGATTATCGTCATATCCCTCTCACTGAGAAGATATGCTGGAAGAGCTTAAGGATGACCATTTTTTCTTTCTTTAATTGATTCTCCATCCTAACCCTCTTCCAGACCCCATCGGCTGTTGCCTTATTTGCACAGCGCAGTGTCTCCTGGGCTCACAAGGCTCTGTTCTGAGGCGTCTACCTCCCAGTTCTGGTCCTGCCGGACCGAACTCAGCCAACGTCCCTGCGGCTCCACATTTCCCAATTTCTTCGGTGACACGTGCTTTAATTCCTTCAGTTTCAAAATAAAAAATAGGGGGAGACCCTCTTCAGGCGCCATTTGCCGCAGAAAATATATGGACTCAGTCAGAGATCAATATGATCAGACAAAAGCCATTTATTACAAAGCCTTAACCCCTTAAATACTGTTTCTTACATGCACTTACAGTGATTTGGCATATTATGATTGGATACATGTCTTGAAGACCCTTAGTGACTAACACATAATTGGTTAAGCACAGGTGTGAGAACTTGACCTCGAAAGCTTACCAACAGTCAGTAGTTCTCATTAGCTCTGTGAATTCCAGCTTCTTATCTTGCTTGCTTTAGCTTCCTAGGGCCTCGCATGGCCTTGCTGTAGCTTTCAGGATTATTCAGAGTTTATGTACCAACTTTCCATTCTCCTGTGAGAACACTGTCTCCACACAACACAACTTTTTACCTTGGATTGAGAAATCTTGTCTTAGATGTCTAAAGTAAGGTAATTTACAACAGTTCTGTGATATTTTTTTTTTTTCCTCTGACAGCCAATTTAAAAGAGGAAAAATCACCCTTTAAACCACACATGACAGAATACTGAACCAATAAACTGCTTCTTAAAGTAGAAATGGGAAAAACTTAGAAGAAGCTATGATATAGTAACACCAAAAAATAAATTTATTTCAGGAAAACTATAAATAATATATACACACAACAAGCATGAATGGGTTTTATTCCTGGTTACAGGAGTGTACATTATTTTTGCTACTGTGCTCATATTTCAACGTTACCTACAACTTGGTGTCCATGATAATATTACCATCCTTGTCCTTTACTCTTACTCTCCCAGAGACATACTTTGTTTCCTGCTGTCCATTCATGTACACAGTCTTGACAGTACCATCTGGATACTCCCGTCTCTTAAACTGTGCTGTGTGTAGTTCTCTCTGGCCATTACTGAACTCTATAGTTTTGCTTCCATCTCTGCATTAAATAAATATATACAAGTTTGGGGGGGGGGGTGTTAGTAACATTGTAGTATACAGAGGCTTAAATTTATCTTAGAACAAACATTAAATATGCAAACCAAAATGAAGGAAGAACTTAACAAATAAGAGTATTTCTGAAAAGCCTGTTAAGTACCATAGCAGCTGGTTGGTACTCAAAAAACCTGTTCCTGCAAAACTGAGTGCAGTAGAACTGCACTTTCTCTGCACTAAATGTTATTGCTGGAACAGTCCAGGAAAGTGCTCAAAACATTAAGTTTTAAGCCCATCTGTTATCAGCTATCAGAGCTGCTTGCTCCATGAGCTAGATTCTTGCATGTTCTCTAGAATTAGAATTATGCACAAATTGGGAAAATCTCCCAAGTTAGGGAATGAGATAATAGACTCGCATTTTTTGTGCCTCCTCCAAGCTACCAAAGAAAACCCAAGATTTCTAGCAGTAAATATATGTTCACAGTACTGTATATTCAAATGTGAACTTGTAGATGCACCCAAATACTGCCTGCGGCAGTGAGCCCTGTGGCTCCTTCCCCATCTACAGGCTGGGGGTACCTGAAAGGTGAAGCTTACCGCTGAACACGAACAATGGTACCATCTGGGAAGATACTTTCTTCCTGCCCATCCATAAATAAGTTTTTAATAGTTTGATCAGGGAAGGTAATTTCTTTCTTGCCATCAGGATAATGCTTCTCTGAAATGTATTTTGAGACATAAATACAGGTGTGGATATGTGTGCGTATGTACACACACGCAGATAGATGGACAGATAGATA